CTTCACCTATATAAGTTCTTCCAAAAATCTGTTTCACTTTTAAATCTTTAATCCCCTCCCTTCCTCCCTTCCTCCCTCCCTTCCTTCCTAGATTTGTTTTATTTATTTCATAATGAGTTACAGAGAGAAGTAGACAGAGAGGTCTTCCATCCGCTGGTTCACTCCCCGGATGGTTCAACAGCCAGAGCTGAGCCGATTCAAGTCAGGAGCCAGGACCTTCTTCTGGGTCTCCCATGTGGGTGCAGGGGCCCAAGGACTTGGGCTGCTTTCCACTGCGTTCGTAGGCCATAGCAAAGAGCTGGATCAGAAGAGGAGCAGCCAGGCCTAGAATGGGCATATGGGATAACGGACTGCAGGCCAGGGCTTTAACCTGCTGCGCCACAGCGCCGGCCCCAAGGAAGTTTTCCCTATTTTCCTGCTAGGTAGCCAGCTGGTAGACCCTGGACTGAACCGTTCATCATTTCCCCGCCGGTCTGTAGGGACAGCTGTGCCATGTGCAGCGCTTCTGCAGCGGCACGAGCTTGTGTCTGGGCCACTGCTCCCGGACAGGGCACACCACGGCCCCTCCCCTTTCCTCCTCTCCTCCTCCCCTCCTTTTTCCCAGGAGTATCTTCATTTCTCTTTCACTCAGCTCTGTGCGCCTGTCAAGTGGAAACAGGACCTCAGATCTAGTCTGAGCATATGGAGAACGAGGAGGGCTGCGTTTTAAGTCTCATCCCTGAGTGGAGGGAAAAGCTTGGCCCCCCAAGGACATCCCAGACACTTGTGCTTGGGGTATTTAAGAACTGTCCCGGTCTCTGAAACCAGTTACAGCAGAGGGCCTGCCCCTTACTGGAGGCAAAAGGTGCTGTAGGTGTATTTGAACTTGGGCCAAAGGACAGAACAAAACCAATTTAAGAGCTAAGAGATAAAGTATAGGTTTTGGGTGAGTTGAGTGGTCAGAAAGTGACCAAACCTTGGGGTTCACGTAGTGGCACAGCAGATTAAGTCACTGTCTATGATGCCAGCATCCCATGTGAGCGCAGGTTGAAGTCCTGGCTGCTCGACTTCTGATCCAGATCCACCTGCCTCCTAATGTACCTGGGAAAGCAGCAGCTGATGCCCAAGGGATGGGGTCCCTGCCATACATGTGGGGCACCCAGATGGAGTTCCAGGCTCTTGGCTTTGGCCTGGCTCAGCCCCAGCCATTTTCTCCATTTGGGGAGTGAACCAGAGGATGGGAGATTTTCTCTGTCTCTGTCACCTGCCTTTCAAATAAAAAATTAACCTTACATTTAAGTTATGAGACAAAGCAACATCATGTGGCTCCCAATATGATGCTCTTAGGATACAGAATCTCTTTGTGGTAACCTTGCAAAAATGCAGAACCTCAATCTACTCATAGAAACATCAGACAAACTCAACCCAAGAGTTCTACAGATGCGCTTGTTCAGCAAAAACATCCTGGTCATGAACTGAGCAACCGTCCCAGACAGAACGCAAATAAATGCAAACCTGCGAGCTGGGTTTAGATCCTGGAGCACACAGGCAAGGGTGATTTAAACGACACTGCTGGGGCAACTGGCAAGACTGAGTGAGGTTTGCAGGTCGGCTGAGTTCAGGATCAACCCGGACTTCCCTGTTCTGACAGCTGTACTGTGGTGATGCAGGAGCGTCCTTTGATTTAGCAAATGTGAACACGCTGAACTACGTTAGGGTAACAGGATTCAACGACTGCTTACAACTGGCAGATGAGTCAGGGAAAATACACACAGCATATATAACCTGTGTGTGCATATGTATATAGCAAACCTAATGAAAAGTTAACAAGTGGGAGAACTGGGAAGGGGTATACTGGGTTCCTTTGTGTATTGTTGTGACTTCTCTACAAGTTTGAAACTATTTAAAAAGAAAAAATAAAATGGAATAAAATGTACTCACCAAGAGACTTGCTCAAGAAGGAAAGCTTCCCCTGCTGCGAGGCCCCTGGGAGGACCGAGCCGCAGAGGCTTCTGCCTGCTTTCAGGGCTCAGAGAGGTGTTTCTCACAAAGTCACAAGGGGGCATCGGCAGCCAAGACACAGGGCTCCCCACAGTTTCACTGCGTGCGGCAGATGGGAACTGCCCTCCCCCCTTCCTTGCCCACGCAGTCCTCAACCCCGGAGGAAGAGAAGCTTTTCCTTCCACGCTGCACACCGGGGCTCCTCCGTTCACAGCATACAGTGCTACGGTGCACCTGAGAGCTGCCTGCACTCCTCTTCAGGACTGGGTGTCACAGCGGCTGTCAAGGGCCACTGCCTCTATCGCGGCCAGGACATGAACTCTGCAGACCTATGAATAGGGACTCATGACTGGGACCACAACATGTAATAGTTACATTCCTTCACCACACGTGTCAGCCACACCCTCCCTCATCCTGCTTCCTGATCTGATCTCTGAGAGGATCACTGGGGGCCTCCCAGGAGGCAAGGTTTCCAAGCTCCGGAACACGCTCCTCTCGTCTACCTATCACAAACCACTCCTTAAAATGGTCTTCTGCCACCGGCTCATGACTGTGGTATACCTGGTGTATATACTAAAAGGCTCTGAAGATTGTAAACCAATGGTTTGGTCTCTTGAGAATAGAACTTTACCTTAATTTTTCTTAAAATTTATTTGAAAGGCAGAGTTACAGAGTGAGAGAGATCTTCCATCCACTGGTTCACTCCCCAAGTGGCTGCAACAGCCGGGGCTGAGCCAGATGATTCATTTGGGTCTCCCACAAGGGTAGCAGGGGACCAAGCACTTGAGCCATCTTCCATTGCTTTTCTCAGGCCATTAGCAGGGAGCTGGATCAGAAGAGGAGTAGCCAGGACTTGAACTGAAGTCCATATGGGATGCTGGTGTCACAAATGGCAGCCTTAGCAGCTATACCACAATGCTGGCCCCCTTTATCCTAACTTTAAATCCTCCCCCCCCCCTTTTTTTTTAGGGGCAGGAGTTTGGCACAGCAGGTAGAATATCCGCACCCCATAGAGTGCCTGGGTTTGAGTCCCAGCTTTGCTTCCAATCCCAGTTTCCCTGGGAGGCAGCTGTGATGACTGAAATATCTGGGACCCTGCCACCTACATGAGATCCAGACTGAATTCTTGGCTCCTTGCTTCAGCTTGGCCTAGCACCAGCTGTCGTAGGCATCTGAGCAGTGAACCAGGAGATGAAAGATCTTTTTCTCTTTCTGCCTTTCAAATAAAATGAAAATAAATAAATTTTTAAAAAGATTTTATTTATTTATTTGAGAGGTAGAGTTACGACAGTGAGAAGGAGAGACAAAAAGGTCTTCTGTCCGCTGGTTCACTCCCCAAATAGCCACAACGGCCAGGGCTACGCCGATCCAAAGCCAGTAGCTAGGAGCTTCTTCCAGGTCTCCCACGTGGGTGCAGGGGCCCAAGGACTTGGACCATCTTCTACTGCTTTCCCAGGCCATAGCAGAGAGCTGGATCAGAAGAGGAGCAGCCGGGATTTGAACCAGCGCCCATATGGGATGCTGGCACTGCAGGCGGAGGAGTAACCTACTGCGCCACAGCACTGGCCCCATAAATAAAAATTTAAAAAATATGCTGAGATGGAAAGATCTTGAGATGCTAAGTGAAAATCAATCATGAAATATATCCAATTCTACTTTTTTGCTTAGGGACAAAAAGAGGTGACCATGCCATTTCCTTGCTTAAAACCCTCAGTGGTTCTCCACTGTGGATCAAGGGAAGTCCAAGCTCCTTACCTGACATTTAAGCTCCTTCTTCATTTGGGCCCCACAGAATTCTCTGGATGCATCTCCCACAGGTCAGTCGTGTTGTCCCAGGAATCTGGTTCCAGCTATGACTAATACGCTCTTCACCATCTTTTCCTCTAGTTCAGTGGTTCTCAAACGTTAGTATACTTCGCGGATTTGTTAAAACAGATTCCTGGGGCTGGCACTGTGGCACAGTAGGACTGCCTGTAACACTGGGATCCCATTTCAGAGCGCTGAATCCAGCCCTGGCTGCTCTGCTTCCAATCCAGGGCCCTGCTAATGTGCCTGGGAAAAGCAACTGAAGATGGCCCAAGTACATGGGTTTCTACCACCCACACAGAGATTCAAATGGATTTCCTGGCTCCTGGCATCAGCTGGCCCAGCCACCAGCCCGTGCAGACATTTCAGGAGTGAACTAGCAAATGGAAGATCTGTTTCTCCTTCTCTGTTTCACTCTGCCTTTCAAATAAATAAGTTTTGTTTTTTTTTTTTTTTTTGACAGGCAGAGTGGACAGTGAGAGAGAGACAGAGAGAAAGGTCTTCCTTTGCCGTTGGTTCACCCTTCAATGGCTGCTGCGGCCAGCGTGCTGCGGCTGGCACACTGCGCTGATCCGAAGGCAGGAGCCAGGTGCTTCTCCTGGTCTCCCATGGGGTGCAGGGCCCAAGCACTTGGGCCATCCGCGACTGCCTTCCTGGGCCACAGCAGAGAGCTGGCCTGGAAGAGGGGCAACCAGGACAGAATCTGGCGCCCTGACTGGGACTAGAACCTGGTATGCCGGCGCCGCAGGCGGAGGATTAGCCTATTGAGCCATGGCGCCGGCCCATAAATAAGTCTTAAAACACACAAACACACACACATAGAGTCCTGGGTATCCACAAAATTTCTGATTGGGGTCTGGCTCCACTTCCAACAAGTTCCTGGGTGATACTGATACTGCTTTACACTGATGATGATTCAACTTCCTTACTTATACGTGTACCTAAGCTGACCAACCCTGTTGGCCTGGCAGGGCCAGCCCCAGCTTTGATACCAAAAGTCCATGTCACTGAAAGTCCCTGAGTTGCAGGCAAACTCGGATGGTTGGTCGGTCACCCTCGCTGCGTCAGACTCTCCCAGGCTGCTGCCTCTGGGCCATTCCCTGCCACTGCCGAGCAGTCCTCCTGACAGCCAGGTCACGGGAGTGCTGAGGAAAGACTTCCATCACCCGGCTGCATTTTGCTGGAATAAGAGTATTAAACAAAGCTTTTCAAAGTCAGGTTCCTCCAAACATATTTTCTTTATTTTCTCCAGAGAAATGGCTTTAGTTGTCTGTTCATTGTAAACATTTTTAATATAACTGGTATGAGAACAAACTGTGAGCATCCACATATTTGTACTGTGCAGCTGGGCTGAGTTTACACAAGGAGAAGCTGGGGCAAAGGCAGTGAGCGAATGGGAGCTTCTGACTCACGCGTCCAGGGATGACAGTTCCTCGGGGGCCAGTACAGCGGATTTTCTGGGGCTTCCAAGGGGCACCCAGGCACTGTGGGGAAATGGACCTGGGGAAGCACCCGTGAAGTTTCTGCTCATTGTTGATCAGGCTCAATCCATTTCAGTAACTGGGAATTCTCCTTCCAAGGGGTCAGAGGTCAGAAAGCTGATAGCGTCGCACAAGACCATCTCGACAGCATGTGTAGATCTGTTTCTCCCATGTGGCTACCTAGAACACAAGAGTTCACATTTCAAAGAAAGCCTAAGATTCTCCCATTTAAAATAATGCAAGCTTGGTGCCGGTGCTGTGGTGTAGTGGGTAAAGCTGCCACCTGCAGTGCCGGCATCCCATATGGGTGCCGGTTCTAGAACCAGCTGCTCCACTTCTGATCCAGCTCTCTGCTATGGCCTGGGAAAGCAGTAGAAGATGGCCCAAGTCCTTGAGCCCCTGCACCCGTGTGGGAGACCCAGAAGAAGCTCCTGGCTCCAGGCTTTGGATCAGCTCAGCTCCGGCCGCTGCGGCCATTTGGGGAGTGAACCAGCGGATGGAAGACCTCTCTCTCTCTCTCTCTCTACTTCTTCTCGCTCTGTGTAACTCTGACTTTCAAGTAAATAAATAAACCTTTAAAATAAAAAAAATTTTTTTTAATTTTAAAAAATTAAAAAATTAAAAAAATTAAATAAAAATAATGCAGCCTTGTCACTGACCCCCATTAGTCCAGGGGAGTCTGAGAAGCTTCAGTGACTCCAACAGGCAGGTGAACAACCACATCCATAATATATATTTATAAAATCTCAGGCCAAGGTCAACGGTTACTCATGACTACAGAATACAGAAACTAACTGGTGTCAGAGGAATGCTGTCTGTCAGTGCTTGGGTGAGTGCAGAGACCATGCAAGCAGGGAGGAAATGGTACAAGATGGGCGTGGTATCCTGGAACCATGTAACATTGCATACAAGGAAGTCCTAAATATGAGCCTTTTTTTCTGAGGAGGACTTCAATTTCTCAAAGTAACGCAAGAACTACTAACATAATGGAAATGGCACAAATTCTGGAATGAATTTAAGCTCAGGTTTGCTGTCACATGACTGCATTTCCTAGTACAACTTTCTCCATCCCTTTGGACTCCAGTCTCTTCACTGGTAAGATGGAAATAACAGGTTAATTCACAAAACAGAGCACTATGCAGGAACTTTAAAGTATGCATTTACCTGAAAAGAGTTCCAAGATGTTGTATGAAAAATAAATAAATAGGGGCTGGCGCTGTGGTGCAGTGAGTTAACACCCTGGCCTGAAGCACTGGCATCCCATATGGGCACCGGTTCTAGTACCGGCTGCTCCTCTTCTGATCCAGCTCTCTGCTATAGCCTGGGAAAGCAGTAGAAGATGGCCCAAGTCCTTGGACCCCTGCACCCGCATGGGAGACCCGGAGGAGGTTCCTGGTTCCTGGCTTCGGATCAGCGCAGCTCTGGCCGTTGTGGCCAACTGGGGAGTGAACCATCGGGTAGAAGACCAACCTCCCTCTCTCTGCCTCTCCTCTCTCTCTGTAACTCTTTCAAATAAATAAATAAATAAAATTGTCACATCACACAAAAAAAAAAGAAAAATAAATAAGCCACAGGGTAATATTTATGGGATGATCCTATTTATATACAAACTAAAGACAAAAACTGTATTATTTTTACATGAATAAGAAGATGCTGGAGCTGGTGCTGTGGCATGGTGTGCTAAGCTGCCGCCTGCAGCACCGGCATCCTATCTGGGCGCTGGTTCGACTTCTGGCTGCTCCTGGCTGCTCTACTTCTGATTCAGTTCCTTGCTAGTGTGCTTGGAAAAGCAGCAGCAGATGACCCAAGTGCTTGGATCCCTGCACCCACATGGGAGACTCAGAGGAAGCTCCTGGCTCCCGGCTTTGGCCTGGCCCACCCTTGGCCACTGTGACCATTTGGAGAGTGAATCAACAGATGGAGGACTTTTCTCTCTCTGCCACTGCCTCTCCCTCTCTGTAACTCTTTTAAATGAATGAATGAGTGAATAAATAAATAGAAGATGTAACCATGTACATTATCCAAAAATGGTCTTGAAAGAGTTCAGTAAAACTGTTACTGCTTGTTACTGCTAGAAAGATGAATGGAACTAATGGAACTAAAAAGGGTTTTTGTTTTTGTTTTTTTAATTATTTATTCAAGAGGCACAGAGAGGGAGAGACAGAGACAGGTTCACTCCCCAAATGGCCACAAAGGCTGGCTGGGCCAATGCAAAGCCAGGAGCCAGGAGCTTCTTCCAGGTTTCCCATGTGGATACAGGCACCCAAGCACCTGGGCCATCTTCCATTGGTTTCCCAGGCCATTAGCAGGGGGCTGGATCAAAGTGGAGCAGCTGGGACTCCAAGTGGCATCCATATGAGATGCTGGCACTGCAGAGGAATACCCTACTACAACACAGCACGGGCCCCAATTAAAAAGGTCTTTGGCCGGTGCCATGGCTCACTAGGCTAATCCTCCGCCTAGCGGCGCCGGCACACCGGGTTCTAGTCCCGGTTGGGGCGCCGGATTCTGTCCCGGTTGCCCCTCTTCCAGGCCAGCTCTCTGCTGTGGCCCGGGAGTGCAGTGGAGGATGGCCCAGGTGCTTGGGCCCTGCACCCCATGGGAGACCAGGAAAAGCACCTGGCTCCTGGCTCCTGCCATCGGATCAGCACGGTGCGCCAGCCGCAGCGCGCCGGCCGCGGCGGCCATTGGAGGGTGAACCAACGGCAAAGGAAGACCTTTCTCTCTGTCTCTCTCTCTCACTGTCCACTCTGCCTGTCAAAAAAAAAAAAAAAAAAAAAAAAAAAAAAGCTTAAAAAAAAAAAAAGGTCTTAAAGCAGACTTTCAAGTCTGCATAATTCTTATGTTTGAATTTTTATAGGTACAGATTAATTATGTAACTTTCTAAAAATTCTAAGAAAAAATAGGAATAATACTGATTGTTTCAAGGAATGGTAACAAACACTAAACAAGATAGTCCTTGTAAAACATGCGGCACATCAATGTCTGGTGTTAGTTCCCTTTTTGTTTTTCTCTTCATACTCTAATAAAAATGTGGGAGTCAATCCTGAATTTTAAATAATAACTGCTAATATTTCTAGAATGCATTTACAAAGCTTTCATATGCATTATCTCATTATTCTCCTCATTCCACATAAGAGTACAGATTGAAGAAGTGAAATAATTTCCAAGCTTCTGGAGTCAGTAGGTGACAAAGTCACTTCTGACTCAAACAAAACCTTGATTTCTTTCCATCCCAGCATACAGCTTATGCAATTGTAGCAACTCTGATGACCACAAGGTGGCCAGACTCAGTTCTTTCAAAGCTCTCAATCCCAGGGGGAGAATCACCCAGGCGTGGTGTTCTTGGGTCTGTACCTTGTACACAGGGTCACAGTCCACTCCAGTGAGCTCAATGACGTAGTCTAAGTCTTGCTGAACGATGAAACAGCTTCCGTCACCTAAAAGAAAATTTAAATAATTAAAGAGAATGTTGCATTCAAAAGACTTAAAAAGATTCATTGTTTTTATCTACATGTATTATTAGCCTAAAGACACAGAATGGTAATAAGCTTTACTGTGTGTTAACTATGTACTTTGGAAATTTATATTCATTAAATAAAAGTTAAAAAAAAAGAAATTATAACAAAAGGAATCTTAAGACTCTTTTACACAGTAAGTGTAATATTCCAAATTAATTTCCACATACAATGTGACTTCTTTTCTTCATGATACATTCTATACTTATTTGTGAATATGGCTATTAATTCATAAGGAAATGTGTGAGTGTGTCTACTGACCTAATATGCTTAATTCAGGAAACAGACCTTTTGTGCATGTGGGGAAAGGTGCCATTCAATGTTATCCTCTGTTTTTACAAAATATGTTAATGAATCAAATAATTAGAAAATAAAACATGATGATACAAAACAAAACAAAACAAAAAACTATGATGATCTACAGTGACTACCTAGGATGCTGGGCTGAGGAGGATTTAAAGGCCAAGTGCAGATCAGTGGGAAGTGCCTGACTAGTGACACCTGTCGAGGACACAGACAATGCAACTGCAGTCTTACACATTTGTTTGCAAACGTACCCTCAACAATTTTTTCTTATTTATTTCATTTTTTAAAAAACATTTAAAAAATTATTTAAAAGTTAGAGAGAGAAAGAAAGAGACAGAATCTTTCACCCATTAGTTCACTCCCCAAATGGGTGCAATAAACTGGGGCTAGACTAGACCAGGCAGAAGCCAGGAGCCTGGAACTCCATCCAGGACTACCACAGGGGTGGCAGGAGCGCAAGGACTTGGGTCATCTTCCACTGCTTTCCCAGGTGAATTAGCAGGGAGCTGGACAGGACTCAAAATGGCTTAACCTATTGTGTCATAATGCTGGCCCCAACAATGTTTTAAATAATAAAATTGTCTATAGAAATGTTTTTTTATTTTTTTAAATTTTTTAAATTTCTTGACAGGCAGAGTGGACAGTGAGAGAGAGAGACAGAGAGAAAGGTCTTCCTTTGCCATTGGTTCACCCTACAATGGCCGCCGTGGCAGGCGCACCGCGCTGATCCGAAGGCAGGAGCCAGGTACTTCTCCTGGTCTCCCATGGGGTGCAGGGCCCAAGCACTTGAGCCATCCTTCACTGCACTCCCGGGCCACAGCAGAGAGCTGGCCTGGAAGAGGGGTAGCCGGGACAGAATCCGGCACCCCGACCGGGACTAGAACCCGGTGTGCCGGTGCCGCAAGGCGGAGGATTAGCCTAGTGAGCCGCGGCGCCGGCTTATAGAAATGTTTTAAGAGGGGCCGGCACCGTGGCTCACTTGGCTAATCCTCCACCTGTGGCACCGGCATCCCATATGGGCACTGGGTTCTAGTCCCGGCTGCTCCTCTTCTAGTTCAGCTCTCTGCTGTGTACTGGGGAGGCAGTGGAGGATGGCCCAAATGTTTGGGCGCCTCCACCCGTGTGGGAGACCAGGAGGAAGCACCTGGCTCATGGCTTTGGATTGGCATAGCTCCTGCCGTAGCAGCCATTTTGGGGGTGAACCAACGGAAAGAAGATAAAATAAAAGAAAATAAAATAATGGGCCAGCACTGTGGTGGAGCAGGCTAAGCCTCCACCTATGGGGCCGGCATTCCATATGAGTGTCGATTCATGTCCTGGCTGCTCCTTTTCCAATCCAGCATTCTGCTTATGGCCTGGGAAAGCAGTGGAAGATGGCCCAAGCGCCTGGGCCCCTGCACCTGTGTGGGAAACCTAGAAGAAGCTCCTGGCTCCTGGCTTTGAACTGGACCAGCTCCAGTAGTTGTAGCTATTTGGGTAGTGAACCAGCAGATGGAAAACCTTTTTCTCTGTCTCCTTCTCTCTGTAGTTCTACCTCTCAAATAAATAATTAAAAAAAAAAAAAAAAAGTAAAAGGAATGAATGTTCCCAACAGAAAATGGACAAATGAAATTTGGGGGCTGATGTTGTGATGTAGTGGGTAAAGCCACCACCTGCAGTGCCGGCATCTCAAATGGGCACTGGTTTGAGTCCCGGCTGCTCCACTTCCAATCCAGCTCTCTGCTGTGGCCTGGGAAAGCAGCAGAAGATGGCCCAAGTCCTTGGGCCCCTGCACCCATGGGGGAGACCCAGAAGAAGCTCCTGGCTCCTGGCTTCAGATTGGCTCAGCTCCGGCTGTTGCAGCCAACTGGGGAGTGAACCAGCATTTGGAAGACCTCTCTCTCTCTCTGCCTCTCCTCTCTCTCTGTGTAACTCTAACTTTCAAATTAATAAATAAATCTTTAAAAAAAAAGAAATTTGGGATGACCTTTAACTTGCTTAATAAGGTAGTTTTTGTTCTATTACTTATTTTAAAAGTATAGGGGTCGACACTGTGGTGTAGCACGTAAAGCCCCCACCTGCAGTGCCAGCGTCCCATATGGGGGCCAGTTTGAGTCCTGGCTGCTCCACTTCCGACCCAGCTCTCTGCTGTGGCCTGGGAAAGAAGCGGAAGATGGCCCAACTCCTTGGGCCCCTGCATCCGCGTGGGAGACCCGGAGGAGGCTCCTGGCTCCGGAACAGCATAGCTCCAGCCATTGTGGCCAATTGGGGAGTGAACCAGTGGATGAAGACTTCTCTCTCTCTCTGCCTCTCCTTCTCTCTCTATGTAACTCTGACTTTCAAATAAAATAAATAATTATTTAAAAAAAAGTATAACATGCTCTCATAAAAGTTACATATTAAAAATAGGGGGGGTTGGCACAGTGGTATAGTAGGTTAAGCCTCTGCCTGCGGCACCAGCATCCCATATAGCCCAGCTACTCCTCTTCTGATCCAGGTCTCTGCCTATGGTCTGGGAAAGCAGTGGAAGATAGCCCAAGTGCTTGGGCCCTGCACCCATGAGGGAGATCCAGAAGAAGCTCCTAGCTCCTGAATGGCCCAGCTCCAGCCGTTGTGGCCATTTGGGGATTGAACCAGCAGTTAGAAGACCTCTCTCTCTGTCGCTCCCTCTCTCTGTCAGTAACTCTGCCTCTCAAACAAATAAATTAATCTTAAAAAAAAAAATTAGGGGCAGGCATTGTGATGCAGCAGGTTAAGCCACCACTTAGAATACACACATCCCATAATGGAGTGCTGGTTCAAGTCCCTGCTACCCTGCTTCTGATCCAGCTCCCTGCTAATCCACCTGGGAGGCAGATGATGGCCTAAGTGCTCAGCCAATGCCACCCATGAGGCAGACCAGGATGGAGTTCCTGGTTCCTAACTTTGGCCTGGCCCTGACTGTTGTTGGCATTTGGGGAATAAACTAGCAGATTAAAGATCTATCTCTGTCTTTCAAATAAATAAATAAATAATTTTTAAAAAAAGGAAATAAAAAATGAGTTGATTGTGAAAAAAAAATGCATTCCAAATAAATAACAGATTAAAAATCACGCATATTGAAGATAATTACCACTAATATTTTGATGCATTTTAATCATTTAATCAATTACCACTAATCATTTTAATGCAGACTTCTGTTTTACACGGTGGAAAGCATGCTGCTTAAAGGAAGGTCTTAAAGTTTTTTCTGTTTTGAGATCATGATTTTGTACAAGACCACAAAAAAAATCAAAATTAATTAACTTTTTCAAACCCTCTGGAAATCTGAAAAACTGCTTTCCAAATTTATCTGTCAATCCATACTCCAGTGTGCAGTCACAAGAGGTAATACTTCCCACTTGTGTGCATTATTGGTAACAATAACCTTTTCCACAAAAGAATCATAACCTCTTAGAGATACATACAGAGAAACTGACAGATGAAGTAATATATTTGTTATATGTTTCAAAATTTGATGGCTGGGGACTACAACGAAATGGGTATAGCAAGATTAGCCACTGTTACACACTGAAAATAGCTGAAGGTAGATAGTGGGTCCAACTGGTTTTTTATGCTGTTCTCTCTACTTTGGATATGTTTAATGACTTCTATAGTAAAAGGTTTTTAAAAATTATTCCTCTGAAGGCCAGCATTGCAGCACAGCAGGTCAAGCCACTGCCTGCAATGCCAGCATCCCATATGAGCTCCAGTTCAAGTTCTAGATGCTCCACTTCTGATCCAGGTTCCCGCTAATGGCCTGGGAAAGCAGCAGAAGATGGCCCAAGTGCTTGGGCCCCTGCACCCACATGGGAGATCTGGATGGAGTTACAGGCTTCTGGCTCTGGCATGGCCCAACCCTGGCTGTTGCAGGCATTTGGGGAGTGAACCAGCAGACTTAAGATCTCCCTCTGTCCCTCCTTCTCTCTAATTCCACATTTCAAATAAATAAATAAATAAATCTTTAATAAAAAATATTGTTCATCTGTCAATTTCAATCTCCTCACTCATAATGAAAGAGTTCCTAAGGATCTCAGAGATCATCTATGTCCAATTTCTCAACCAGCAGCCAACCAGCCTATGTTTGTCCATCTCCAGAGTCTGGGTCACTTAGGCAGCTTCATTCTTACAGAAGAAAAGTATTTCCTTATAGTGAACGGAAATATGGTTCCTGATAGTCTTTTTTCAAATTATTTATTTAATTAATTTTAAAGGCAGAGTGACACAGAGAGAGAGAGACAGACAGACAGACACAGAGACAAACATATGAAAGATTTTCCATCTGGTGGTTTACGTCCCAAAAGTCCAAAACTGTCAGGGCTGGGTCTGGTAAGTCTGTGGGCTGCTCCTGAGGAAATGGGCCTCATTCTTACAGGGATTACAGCGTCCTCTGTTACTCGGGAGACCTGCTGCAGCCATCTCCAGGACAACTGCCGGCATCCGCGGCAGGAGACAGCCCAAAGTGGGAAACAAGCTGCATCCTTGATTTGATTTCTTTATCCTTGCTAAAGATCGTATTTGCTTCTTAAAGCTGTATTTTGGAATGGTTTTAGATTACAGAAGAGTTAAAGATGGTATAAAAAGCTCCTGTATGTCCCTCAGTTTGAATTTTCCCAAATGTTAGCATCTTACTTTTGTCAGAACCAAGACATCGATATTGGTCCACTACTCCACACTTTCTATTTGTATCTCACCAGTCTTTCCTTAATGACCTGGGTCCAACCCAGGTCACACACTGATTTAACTGCCAAGTTTCTTTAGTTTCTTCTACTGACTTTACTTTTGAATATAATTTGAAACTACCAACTTCTTGTTTATATACATTTTACCAATACTTATTTTTTTAGAGAATTATTTATTTGAAAGTCAGAGTAACACAGAGAAGGAGAAGCAGAGAGAGAGAGAGAGAGAGGTCTTCCATTCCACTGGTTCACGCTCCAAATGACCACAGTAGCTAGAGCTGAGCTGATCCTAAGCCAGTAGCCAGGAGCTTCTTCTGGGTCTCCAGCATGGGTGCAGGGGCCCACAGACTTGGGCCATGTTCTATTGCTTTCCCAGGCTATAGCAGAGAGCTGGATCTCGAACTGGGGCCCATATGGGATGCTGGTGCTGCAGGCTGGGGCTTTAACCCACTGCGCCACCACTCTGACTCCCTGTTGCTTTTCTTAGACAATTAGCAGGGAGCTGATAAGAAGTGGAGCAGCCAGGACACATATGGGATGTTGGTGTCAAAGGTGGTGGCTTAACCCACTATGCCACAATACCAGCCCCTCTAACAATTTTTTAAAGATATGTATATTTATTATTTTTAAAGGATTTTTTAAAAAGATTTATTTATTTATTTATTTGAAAGTCAGAGTTACAGAGAGAGAAAGAGGGGAAGAAACAGAAAAATTTTCTATCCACTGGTTCACTCCCCAAATGGCTGCAGGGATCAAGGCTGGGCCAGGCAGAAGCCAGGAGCCAGGAGCCTCTTCTGGGTTCCCCACATAGGTGGCAGTGACCCAAATACTTGGGCCATCATCTGAGGCCTTCCATAGTACATTAGCAAGGAGCTGGATGGGAAACAGAGGAACCAGGACTCAAATCAGCACCCCGACATGGGATGCAGGCATTTCAAATGGTGGCTTAGCCGGCTGTGCCACAACACTTGCCCCATTTGCTGTACTAATGTTTAATGAGCATCTACTATACACTGGGCATTGAACTACATGCTGAGGTAACACGATGAACACAACATAATCACTACTTTCAAGGAGCTTGGATTATAGGGAGACATAGATGATTACAACATATGGTGATAAACATTTTGTGATATGTACAATATGTCAAAGAATCATGGAGGACTATAGCCCAATCCAGCCACAGATCAGTCATTTACAACTATATTTAATGAACTGAACTAGATGGAACCATCTCTTTTAATTGGCCCTGGACCCACCTTGGCTAGCAATGAATCCATCTCTGAAACTCAGCAGGGACAGAACTGGTGCTCCTGATCTGTGGATGACTTGTACTGGAGCCCTAGGAGTCAGAGTAAGAGGGGCAGTTTTATACTTTTTCTTCAAAAGCAATAATTGACTACATTCAACATATAGTACCAATCACATAAAAGGAAACAGGACAAACAGGATCAAGGAAGTTATTCAAAACCTCCTTGAAGTAATCCTGACATGTCTCTGAACATGAACTCAGTCACCATCAAAACCTAGAGTTTCAGGGGAGGTCTGACATGGGCTGAAGATAATGTTAACAATAATCTTTTCACACATAGAATTAAGACCAGTTTTAAAGTATTAAAATTGTCAGGACTTAACCAGAAAAATGAGTGAGAATCAATGTAATATACAAGTGTAAGAGTGCTTTTATAATAGTGTTCAAAGATTCTCTACCTCTATGGAGGCAAAAACAAAACAACTAAAATGATGGAAGAAAAGGTGTAAGTTAGTCACCCCTCCTGGAATCTCTTCTCTGCTCCTAGAACAAAGTCCTAACTCCTGAGGATGGGAAGCAAAGCTCCTGCTTTCCCGTCTAACCTCACCTTCCACCTGTCTTTCCTCTTCCACCTGTCAAGCTGATGTACCACCACACTGTCACTGCCTTCATACTTCTCTGCTTTCTTTACTTGCACACTGCTACTCAACAAGACCCAAGGCTTCCCATCTCCTTGCAGCACCCATTCCTCTCCCTCTGCTTGGTGCCTCCTCAGTTTCCTGGGGACAGCCCTGGCAGGTCAGTGATCTCGCTGCAGCACAAGGTTTTTCCTCTTGGGCACCTTTCCACTAGACTCCAGGTGTCTCAAAGGCAGAGTCCACCGCAGAGGCATTCAGTAAGTATTAGCTGAACAAAGGAAAGAAATAAAAGGAGGAAGGGAGAGTATAAACTGCGAAGTTCTGTAGCACAGAGGCTGAATGATCCTCTCTGGATGTCTTTAAGATCCAGACAGGTCTGACTGCAAAAAAGGAATCAGAGTTGGCTTACTTGAACCAAAAATGAACATTCAGCCTTGGGCTAGCCCAGGTCCAATATAGAGAAAATTACTGAGCCGCTTAAAGTTAAAAGTTCTAGATAATTTAAAATGAAATGTCAGTTCATATTTAAGCTTACTTTCCAGAGCAATCATTAAAGTTGGACAATCACAACAGTAGAAATCAAATTACCTCTCAGTATGACTGAGTGTAATAAGAACAATCAGACAATTCATACAAAGAAACTATATATAAATGGAGAAACAGAACCTTGATTTGAGTCACCATATGCCAGGCTAAGTCAATGTTAAAGACAAAAAAATATTTCCACTCTGTATAAGACCTGCATCATGCAAACAAATGGTGACTCACCTTGGACTCCTTGCATCCAGTTGATAAATGTTTCCATCTTGTGTCCCAGCCAATAGTGAGAAGCCAGAGAGGAAAGTACAGCAGTTGAAGGCATCTGAGCCAACAAAGAGGAAAACCTGGGAACAAGCAGGAGACAAAGATGCTATTAAAAAATGAATTTGTTTTCAGGAATAAACAGACACCAAAAAAGGGAATTTTTTTTTACTATTTTTAGAAATACTATTGTCTTTTTTCTCCTTTTAAATACTCTTGAACAATAAATAAAGCATTCACCACTAAGAAGGAAGCACTCTGAAGATATCAGAAACCTGAGGTTGGCTGATGACTTAAGCAGTTTATGTAATACCAAATTCTGAGGCTGCAGTTTTCAAACGCCTACCCCTCAACACACTGACTCCAAAGATCCTTGCCACCAAAAATCCTTCTCCCTCATTATAACTCTCTATTTGAGAAAACACCTGCATTCCTACATTTAAGTTTTGCTCCATGACGCTTCCAAAAGCCTTTTGCAGTAAGGTACTTTAGAAGAAAAGAAACAAATAAAGTGGCAATGCAAGGAACCACAATTCTCTCCAAATATCTGAAAAGAGAAATTATTAGATTTTCACTTATTCTTTATGATCATATCTCCTTCTAAGGTTCTAGAAGGGAAAGGAAAAAACAAAATGCCTGATTTCCCTTTGGAAATAAAAGACAACATGAAAATTAGCACAAAATTGGTGATGACCAAGGCAGGCATTTGCCTTCGTGATCAAGCTGCTGGCTAAGACTCCACATCCCATATCAGACTCCCTGGGTTCAAGTCCCACCTCTGCTCTGAATTCCAGCTTCTCACTACTGCACTCCCTAGCAGGTAGCAGGTGATGGCTCAGATAGTTGGGTCCCTGCCACCCACGTGGGAGACCTGGTTCAAATTCTCAGCTTCACCCCAGCACAGACCCAGCTGACCACTGTACACATTTGGGAAGTGAACCAGCAAAGGGGATCTCTCTTTCTCCATCTACTTTCTGTCTCTGGGTCTCTCTCTGCCTCTCAAATAAAACATCACCAGACAATGGAGTAAGTAATAAGACAAAATGGAAATACAAAACCTATGGTCAAAACCAAATCACTGGAGCTGTTCTGGATGTGACAATGGGTGCTAAAAGGACATTTTAAAAATCTCATCTCAGGCAAGACCAAGTGTAGCTAAAAGCACAGTTTGCCCAGCAAAGCCTCAGGGGATGAAGGAGGACAATCTGGCTAGTTCTTCTATAACATATTCTGCTCACTAATTATAATTGAGAACTCTGAATATACAAGTCCTTAAATCAGAATTTCTCCACATTACTTAAAAGTAGAAAGCCCCAGAAAGAGAAAGCGATCCAACCACATTACTCTACAGAGGGTACACAGAGGACCAGGGAGGGAAAGTGAGCTCGCAAAACAGCACAGTAATTAATCACTTAGCCCAGTGAGGTAAGTCCCATTACGCCCAGTTTAGTGATAAGGAAACTGAGGCGCAGAGCAGCTAAGCAACCTATCCACCATGACAACCACTAAGCAGAAGAGCTAGGATATATGTTGTGCCTATTCCGAGTCCCATGCTCTTCATCTCTACACTATATTGCCTCTCACCCGTGCCGTGAACAGCGGGAACAAGCAGAAATGTTTCCAAAACAGCTTTTCAAGAATCTGAGAGACCCAGGGTGCCTCAGAGTTCAAATAGCTAATAGGAACCACTTGCCGGCTGCCTGCTCTGTAGTCCCAAGCACTGAAGCTTCTTATCTTCCCGGGCCAACAGCAGCATTTTCGCCTCTGTTCCAACCTCTCGTTCACCTGTACAATAGATGAGCTATGTTAGTAACAGCCAGTCGGCTGGCAGTGCCCACAAAGCACAAATACTGATGGATGTTGACTGAGTATGTTGTGTCAGTGATTTATTAAAACAATTATGCTTCATATTTCACTGTGGTATTTATACAACTGTACATATCTGCAGAACTCAAATATAATTAAAAGAATGATTTTGACTATATGTAAAAAAACAAGCTAAATGAAAGATCTTCGCGAGTGAGATCCCAGTGGAAAGAATGGGTCATCAAAGAAGGAGGTACCTTTCTCTGAAGGGAGGAGAGAACTTCCACTTTGACCATGGCCTTGTCTAAATATGATCAGAGTCAGTGAACTCAGGGGGCTTCCATAGCCTTGGCGACTCATGACAAGAGCCTAGGGTGATTACCGATGCCATAAACAAGAGTGTCAATTTGTTAAGTCAACAACAGGAGTCACTGTGCACTTACTCCTCATGTAGGATCTTTGTCCTTAGTGTGCTGTACATTGAGATTTAATGCTATAACTCGTACTCAAACAGTATTTTCCACTTTATTTTTCTGTGTGGGAGCAAACTGTTGAAATCTTTACTTAATGTATGCTAAACTGATCTTCTGTATATAAAGAAAATCAAAAATGAATCTTGATGTGAATGGAAGGGGAGAGGGAGTGGATAAGGGGAGGGTTGCGGGTTGGAGGGACGTTATGGGGGGGAAGCCATTGTAATCCATATTCTGTACTTTGGAAATTTATATTCATTAAATAAAAGTTAAAAAAAAAAAAGGTATCCCCAATAAACTCAAATTTAAAAACACCATGGAGGCCGGCACCGCGGCAGCTCAATAGGCTAATCCTCCACCTGTGGCACTGGCACCCCGAGTTCTAGTCCCGGTCGCTCCTCTTCCTGTCCAGCTCTCTGCTGTGGCCAGGGAGTGCAGTGGAGGATGGCCCAAGTCCTTGGGCCCTGCACCCGCATGGGAGACCAGGAGAAGCGCCTGGCTCCTGGCTTCGGATCAGCGCGGTGCGCCGGCTGCAGCGCGCCAGCCGCAGTGGCCATTGGGGGGTGAACCAACGGAAAAGGAAGACCTTTCTCTCTGTCTCTCTCTCTCACTGTCCACTCTGCCTGTCAAAAAAACAAAACAAAACAAAACAAAACAAACACCATGGGCCAGCATTGTGGTATAGTGAGTACCTGCAATGCTGGCATCCCATATGGGCATTGGTTCGATACCCGGCTGCTCCACTTCCAACTCAGCTCCCTGCTAATGTGCCTGGGAGAGGAGCAGAAGATGGCCCAACTTCTTGGGTCCCTGCACCCACATGGGAGACTTGGAGAAAGCTCCTAACTCCTGGCTTCAACCACTGAGGCCATTTGGGGAGTGAACAGGGGATAGAGGATCTTTATCTCTCTCTCTTCCTTTCTCTGTGTAACTCTTTCAAATAAATAAATAAATCTTAAACACACACACACACAAAGTTTGTAATGTAGTGAGATACCACATTAGGGATCCAACATTGAACGAAGATACTCTCTGCCCTCAAAGCTCTTAGAATCAGGAGGACCCTATTGAGGGTCTACTATGTATCCAACACTGTTTTAGGGCTAAGAACTGGCAATGAACAGGCAAGGCCCTTAATTCTCATGGATTCTAGTGGAAAAAGACTATAGGTAAATAAACAAGTAGCATATTTTCAGAGACGAGTGAATTGTACAAAGTGAATGAAACAGGAAAATGTATCAAAGTGAGTACACGGTGGGAGACTGAATGGAAGGATAACTTTAAACAATTTTTTTTTTTAACTTCAAGGGATATAGAGACAGAGAGAGATCTTCCATCAGTTGGTTCACTCCCCAAATGCCTGCACAGGCAGGGCTGGAAGCCCAAAACTCAATCTGGGTCTCCCTCATGGTTTGCAGGACCCGCCTACCTGAGTCATCACCTTCTGCCTCCTAGGTGTATACTAGGAGGAAGCTGCAATTGAAAGCAGAGCCAGGGGGCCAGCGCTGTGGTGCAGTGGGTTAACGCCCTGGCCTGAATCGCCCGCATCCCATATGGGTGCCAGTTCAAGACCCGGCTGCTCCACTTCCAATCCAGCTCTCTGCTGTGGCCTGGGAAAGCAGAAGATAGCCCAAGACCTTGGGCCCTTGCACCCACGTGGGAGACCTGGAGGAAGCTCCTGGTTCCTGGCTTCGGATCGGCACAGCTCTGGCCGTTGCAGCCAACTGGGGAGTGAACCAGTGGATGGAAGACCTCTCTCTTTGCAACTCTGACTTTCAAATAAAATAAATAAATCTTAGGCCGGCGCCGTGGCTCAATAGGCTAATCCTCCACCTTGCGGCGCCGGCACTCCGGGTTCTAGTCCCGGTCGGGGCGCCGGATTCTGTCCCGGTTGCCCCTCTTCCAGGCCAGCTCTCTGCTATGGCCAGGGAGTGCAGTGGAGGATGGCCCAGGTGCTTGGGCCCTGCACCCCATGGGAGACCAGGAAAAGCACCTGGATCCTGGCTCCTGCCATTGGATCAGCGCGGTGCGCCGGCCGCAGCGGCCATTGGAGGGTGAACCAACGGCAAAGGAAGACCTTTCTCTCTGTCTCTCTCTCTCACTGTCCACTCTGCCTGTCAAAAAATAAATAAAAAAAAAAAAAAAGAGAGAGAGAGAGAGAGCCAGGACTTAAACCCAAGCAGTCTGACAGGCAATGCAGGTGTCCCAAGCAGCATCTTAACTGCTGTGCCAAACACCCATGCTCAAAATTTAAACTTCAATTGTAAAAAGGCTCTGTGGAGTACAGGTATTGTGGTGCACAGGGTTACACTGCTGCTAGGGATGCCAGCATCCCATACTGGGACGCCATTTCAAGTTTGAGCTACTCTACTTTGAATCCAGCTTCCTGTTTATGTGTTTGGGAAAGCAGTTGATGATGGCCCAAGTGCTTGGGTCCTAACACCCATGTAGGAGACCTGGATATGGTTCCAGGATACTGGCTTCAGCCTGACCCAGCCCAGGATGTTGTGGCCATTTTGCTTTTTTTTTTTATTTATTTATTTGAAAGTCAGAGTTACACAGAGGAGAGGGAGAGGTAAAGAGAGAGAGAGAGAGGTCTTCCATCTGCTGATTCACTCCCCAATTGGCAGCAATGGTTGGAGCTGCGCTGATCCGAAGCTAGGAGCCAGGAGCTTCTTCCAGGTCTCCCACACGGGTGCAGGGGCCCAAGGACCTGGGCCATCTTCTACTGCTTTCCCAGGCCATAGCAGAGAGCTGGATTGGAAATGGAGCAGCCAGGTCTCGAACTGGCGCCTATAAGAGATGCTGGCACGGCAGGCAGCGGCTTAACCCACTACACCACAGCACTGGTCCGCTGTGGCCATTTGGAGAGTGAATGAGCAGACAGAACATCTCTCTCCATCTTTCCCTCTTTCTCTGTCACTCTGCCTTTCAATAAATAAATAAATATTCAAAGAAAAGAAATAAAAAATAAAAATGCTCCGTTGGGGTCAGTTTTCAACTGAGACGTGAATGGCGAATGGAAACCAGTCCTGTGAATGGTGGTGGGAAGTGCCCTCCAGACTAAGGAAACACGGCGGCAAAGGCGAGGGGTTGCTGGGCTGCAAGAGCAGACAGAAGGCGGGAGGGGTCCTGGGTCAGAGAGCAGCTGTGTTACAGGCCATGCTAAGGGGCTACCATGTCAATACAGGTATAAAGGGGGACAACTGGAGGTTTTCAAGTTGGAGAGTCACACGCTTCACGGATTTTTAAGAAATGATTCCAAAGATTGCTCCAGTTCAGGAAGCACTTAGCCTAGCAGTTTAGATGCTCACATCCCATATAAGAGTTCCTGGGTTTAAGTCTCAGCTCTGGCTCCTGACTCCAGCTTCCTGCTAATGCAGACCCTGGGAGGTAGTGGTGACAGCTCTATAACTGGGCTCCTGCCACCCACATGGGAGACTCAGACTTTGTTCCCAGCTCCCAGCTTTGGCCTTGGCCCAATCCCAGCTGGGATATTTGGAGAGTGAACTAAATGCCAGACAGGAGTCACTCTCACTCTCTGCTCTCCCTGTGATATCTATTTCTCAAATAAAAACTTTTGTTTAAAGATTTATTTATTTGAAAGTCAGAGTTACACACAGAGAGGAGAGACAGAAAGAGAGAGGTCTTCCATTCAATGGTTCATTCCCCAGTTGGCCGCAACGGCTGGAGCTGTGCCGATCCGAAGCTAGGAGCCAGGAGCTTCTTCCAGGTCTCCCACATGGGTGCAGGGGCCCAGGCACTCTCTCAGGCAATAGCTGATCTTAACATATACTTCCTTTGTCAATTCCAAACCAACAACAATGTAAGAGCAATAGTAAATATTAATCTTGTAGTGAAAATAGAAATGGCAGCAGGAACAGATAAGGGAAAAAAGGAGAAACTAAGCAAATGCTGATGAGGGTTTTCTTAAACAAAACAGGCTCATGTATCATCATTGACTTACTGGGCACCTGCTCTGGGGAGCCAAGGTTTATGGAGTTGTCTGCAGCACCCACTGCCACTCCATTGATGGAGGAACCACAGTCTGCAAGGACTCCCAAGCAGGCTGAGCGCCCACAATCCCAAAGTCGTGCTGTCCCATCTCGAGATCCAGACACCACATTCCTCCCCCGCTCAACAATGGCTGTATCTAGGATACCTAAAATGGATAAAGAAGAAAGGAAGTCCAAGTGAAGAGAAGACAGTGCAACACAGTGACTCCATGCAACAGTGGGTGTCCGGCAGGGCAGTTAGGATTTGGGAGCCTACAACCCATATGAGTAACTGGGTTCAATTCCTGGGACCACTCCCAATTCCAGTGCAGCCTGTAAATATAAATTGCGACTTAAACCCATGGGAATCACAGCTCTATCTTGATCTATCTCTGATGTCCGGTGATGCAGCCATTCACCCCCTTGCTTTTACTGTCCCCTCAGCCCAAGGACTAATGAGAAAACGTAGGCACTTATCTCTACCTCCCTCTCTCATTACTCTCAGCATACAGGTAGATGATATCCTGAGGAATATTTTTTTTTTCTTATCAATTGTAGAAAACAACTATTTGTATAAGACTGTTAGTTCTAGATAGCAATCATGACTGAACAGCAAAGAAATTTCTGGCCCTTGGGGAAACAGCAGCTCATCAGAAACGGCCAGAGGATGAATTACCTGTGTGTCTGTGAATAACCAGCTTTGTTTTCTCTTTTCAGTGATTCATCTCTGGGGATCATTAGGGATGCCTTTGGGAGAAGCCACCCTTCATACCTCCTTTGTGACCTTTGAAGGTCACCACGCAGTTAGCATCTTCTGCTGACCAGATCTTGAGCTGGGCATCCATTCCCCCACTCAGAACCACAAGGCCTGATGGGAAAAACCTGCAACAATTCACATCAAACACATGTCCTTCCAATACTCTCTGGAAAAACAAAAGAAAATTCCATGCTAGTTCTCTTGTCCATCCCTTAATGTTCTCACTTCCCACATTTTGGTCCCTTATGAAATACCTACATACTATAACCATATGGTAGATTTAACGAAGGATGTCCAAAGGATATCTTAAGTTCATTTGTCTACCATGTAGTGTTCTAAGAGCTGCTGGCTCCCTTTCCTGGGATTTAGCGAAAATGTTACAGAACTGAATTCCCTTGCTCTCACATCCACTCCTAAGTCTAGTTCTAGGAATAAGGAGCTGAGGAGGCCTGGGAACTTAAAATTTCTCTTTCCTTAAAATCCTCTATGTAGGTTGCAGGCTCAGTCATATATTCAGTGTAACAGCTCAGTCTTGGAAACCAATCACTGAAGGCAGCTCAGTCAAGGGCCCACTCAGATATTCACTGGCCTGGCTTCTCAACTCTTCCAGCCCAACTCTGATCTGCGAAATCACTAAGTTTGAGAATGGTATTATAATCAACAAATGGGAGAACAGAAGTCAATGCATGTCCAGTGACCCTACATTTTTAGCATGGGCCACTCTTCCTTCCATGACCCATCAGGGTTTCTCAAACTACCCTTCATGTCTAAGACCCTAAATATCCAAATTCTTTACTCTGGGTTCTCCATTGGAAGCCTGCCAGATCTTCATGTTCCCATCAGTACTAGAAGACACACCAAGGCCTCCTCCACTGGAAATGTCCAGGCATGTTATCTGTTCAAAAGACAAAACAACCAATGTTGTAAGTAAGGAATTACTCTTATTTCTGTGACAGATCCTATAACCCTCCCTTTTTCCACACTCTTCCAAGACATCTTCAAGCCTATGCCTCCCAATACAAAAGACACGTGTTTGATGTGAAGGATGAGTTATTATCACTTACTTCCCCACAAGACCAGAGCCAATGCCATCTACTTCTCCGAACAAGACAACGCTCCCATAAACATCTGTTGTCTCCTGCTTCAGCTAAAACACGTTCCCTGTCCCCGTTTTGTTTTCATAGTTTCTACCCTCTGCTATTTTTTTTTGCAGTATCTTTCCTAATTCTTAGAAACCTACTTATAAACAACACCCTTCAATACATACTAGAATTCAAGGAAGAATAAAAATACTTCCATATAGATTCCATATATATCTATGTACAGATATATAGATATAAATGTTTCAGAATAAGTAATACAGAATTCTCAGATTCACTTCTGCAGTTCCAGTATCAGCAATCACTTCCTGCATGTATACCCTTTTTATTAAATGGCATTAAAAGAAAACATCCAGTTGCAAGTATTTCAGAAATGTGGGATAGACAGTCTGACATATTCCCAGCAACACTGACTCCCACATGGCCTAAATTAAGGAAAAGTAGACTGTGACTTTAATTATCTAATCTCCCATTTTCACTCTGTATGTCAATTAAGCCATAATGAAGATATTTGGCAAGAACTATAGGAATATTTAGGTAAATCTGTAACATTTTAAGACTCTTCTTCTTTATTTTGGTTCCTCAGAATAAAAGCACTGTTAACTTAATTGTAGATCCTTCAATTTTAATAAATGGATGAATCATCTCTTAGTAAACTTACACAAGAGAAAGAGAAATAGCAAAAAGGCACCATCAATGATAAAAAAAAAATGACCTACTTCCCAAAGGTTTTCCCAACTCCCTCACAAGAGACTCATCATTTCCTTCCTGAGAATATCTCAGCACTATATTCACATATTGTAATGGTCAGCACCCAATACAAATAAAGGGTGACTGCCTTCTCTAGCAGATATGTGGCAATGTCTGGAAACAAGATGCAGGGAGGAGGGACAGTGGCCTGTTACAGGTTGAGGTACTGGATGCTGCTAGGTGCCCTGCAATGCATAGAACAGTGCCCTATAACGAAGGACCCAGGTCAGGATGTCAATAGTACTGAGGCTGAGAAACTTTGTTATATTGTATTATATCCTCTCAGTTAATATGCTGTCCCTAAAGGAAACAGGGACTTTGTGTTACTTATCCCCAGTGCCTAGCCTTAAAAAGAAATTAGGTCTGAACTACCTATTTCTTACAAAATGTTAGGAATTAATAGATTAAAGACCATACCAGCTATCTTCTTAGTTCAAATTTTTTCTTTAAAGACTTATTTATTTATTTGAAAGGCAGAGTTACAGAGTCAGAGGCAGAGAGGGAGAGAAGTCTTCCATCTGCTGGTTCACACCCCAGATGGCCACAATGGCCAGCGCTGCACCGATCTAAAGCCAGGAACCAGGTGCTTCTTCCGGGTCTCTTACGTGGGTGCAGGGGCCCAAGGACCTGGGACATCTTCTATTGCTTTCCAAAGGCCACAGCAGAGAGCTGGATCAGAAGTAGAGCAGCTGGGACTTGAACCGGTGTCCATATGGGATGCCGGTATTGCAGGCAGTGGCCGTAAGTCCAAACTTTTGTTAAAGGAAAACGGGAATGGGATCTATCACCCATAAATACCTACTATGTACCTTACAGGTAATAAACAATACCTCAAGTAACCTCCCAAAAATCTGTTAGGTATGATTCCTGTTTTTCACATGAGCAAACTGAGGCCTAAGAAGAGACTGAGTAATCTCCGAAGGCCACATGTTAGGAACCAGTATACAAATCTAGGTCAGATTCCAAAGCTAAAGATCTATTCCTGAGCTTAATGATAACAAAAGAACAAACAGATCAATGAATTAATCTTATATATCAAATAAAGATGACAATTTAAGTCACTGGGGTAGAAGATGAGTTACCTTATGATGCTATGAGTTGTTTAATAATTTTAAAATTGGAATGTTAAAAATGAAAATACTAAAATAAAAATAAATTTACATAATTTCACAAATAATGTAACTGGCACTACAACTGCCTTATGGTAAGCATTCAACATGATCTTCAGTAGTAGAAGTATGCAGTCGCAATAGTGAAGACCTCGTAAGACATGAACACACGCACTGTGGGCACCACACAGTATGTTTTTCAGAGGAAATGTACAGCAATGAATAACTCCACAAGTCAGTTTAACAGAGGTCAGTTAGAACATACTCTATAACCCAACAATTCTATTTAACACATGTATTACAATTTCTTCCTACCTTCTTAAGTAGAAGTTTAGCTGCAAGTATACTTATAAAAATTTGAAATCATAAAGTTGGGAACACCTGCACGTACAGTAATAAAAAACTAGAAAAATAAATGACAGTAAAGTCATAGAATGAAGCATTGTAGCTTTTTAAAAATATACTTATTTGGCCGGCGCCACGGCTCACTAGGCTAATCCTCCGCCTAGCGGCGCCGGCACACCGGGTTCTAGTCCCGGTCGGGGTGCCGGATTCTGTCCCGGTTGCCCCTCTTCCAGGCCAGCCCTCTGCTGTGGCCAGGGAGTGCAGTGGAGGATGGCCCAGGTGCTTGGGCCCTGCACCCCGTGGGAGACCAGGAAAAGCACCTGGCTCCTGGCTCCTGCCATCGGATCAGCGCGGTGCGCCGGCCGCAGCGCGCCGGCCGCAGCGGCCATTGGAGGGTGAACCAACGGCAAAAGGAAGACCTTTCTCTCTCTCTCTCTCACTGTCCACTCTGCCTGTCAAAAAAAAAAAAATATATATATATATATACTTATTTATTTATTTGAAAGGTACAGTGACAGAGATAGAATGAGAATCAGAGAAAGAAAGAGACCTTCTATCTATTGATTCACTCCCCCGATGGCTGCAATAGGCAGGGCTGGGCCAGGCTGAAGCCAGGAACCTGGAACTCCATTTGGAGTAGCCAAGCTTAGACTGGTGTGCTCCAATATGGGATGCCAGCATCACAGTGGCTTTACCCCCTACGCCACAACACTGGGCCTATCACTATGTAGATTTTAAAAGATGACATAAGGGTGACTATTGTGGTACAGCAGGTTAAGCTGTGGCTTGGGATCCCCACATCCTATATCACAGTGCCTGGGATTGAGTTCCAATCCAGCTTTCTGCTAATGTGTCTGGGAAGGCAGCAGATGACCCAAGTACTAGGGTTCCTGTCACCCATGCGGGAAACTCAGGTAGAGTCCCCAGCTCCTGGCTTTGGCCTGGCCCAGACCTGTTGTGGGCATTGTTGAGGGCATTTAATTGTGGGCACTGTTCACTGTTGTGAACAGTGGATGAAAGATCTGTCTCTCCGTCTCTTTGTCACTCTACCTATCAAGTAAATAAGTAAAAGAATACACAGAAAGATGACACAGAACACTTCTAAGTAATCAAAACCAAGTTATAAAATAGCATGGAGGTTGGTGTTGTGGTGCAGGGAGCAAAGCCATCAGTCACAATGCTAACATACCATGTTGCAAGGCTGGTTCAAGAACTGGGTGCTCTGCTTCCAATCCTGGAAGAGCAGCAGCAGATGGCCCAAGTCCTTGGGCTTCTGCCACCCATGTGGGAGACTAGAATGGAGTTCCAAGCTCCTGGCTGCCCGCCTGACCCTGGCTGTTACAACCATCTGGGGAGTAAGCCAGCGGATGAAATCTCTATCTCTATCTCTATCTATCTCTCTCTCTCTCTCTTACCCCCCCCCCCATTCTGTCACTCTGTCTTTCAAATCAATTAAATCTTTAATTAAAAAGAAAGCATGAAGCCTGCACCGCGACTCAATAGGCTAATCCTCCGCCTGCGGCGCCGGCACACTGGGTTCTAGTCCTAGTCGGGGCACCGGATTCTGTCCCGGTTGCCCCTCTTCCAGGCCAGCTCTCTGCTGTGGCCCAAGTCCTTGGGCCCTGCACCTGTATGGGAGACCAGGAGAAAGCACCTGGCTCCTGGCTTTGGATCAGCGCGGTGCGCCGGCTGCAGCGCGCCGGCCACGGCGGCCATTGGAGGGTGAACCAACGGCAAAGGAAGACCTTTCTCTCTGTTCTCTCTCTCTCTCTCACTGTCTACTCTGCCTGTAAAAAAAAAGCAAGCAAGCAAGCAAGCAAGCAAACAGTACTGTAAAAATGTGCTTTGGTAAAATATTTAAAGAAAAGACTGATAGGGACTGGCACTGTGGCATAGTGGGTAAAGCCGCCGCCTGCAGTGCTGGCATCCCATATGGGTGCCGTTTCAAGTCCCAGCTGCTCCACTTCCAGTCCAGCTCTCTGCTATGGCCTAGGAAAGCAGCAGAAGATGGCCCAAGTCCTTGGGCCCCTGCACCTGTTTGGGAGACCCAGAAGAAGCTCCTGGCTCCTGGCTTTGGATTAGTGCAGCTCCAGCTGTTGTGGCCAACTGGGGAATGAACCAGCAGATGGAAGACCTCTCTCTCTCTCTCTCTCTCTCTCTGCCTCTCCTTCTCTCTCTGTGTAACTCTTTCAAATAAATAAATAAATCTTAAAAAAAAAAAAAAGATTGCTAGAATTACAATAACGATATATAAAGTTTAGCATGGTGCTGGCTCATAGTAAGCAAACAGTAAATATTAGCTATTCCTACTACATTATTTGTAAAGGCTACAATGAAGCAAATTTACAACAGTTATTTTTAGGTTATGGAAATAGGAGTAATTTTCATTTCCTTTTATATTTCCTAAATATTAATCATTAAATACATACTTGTTTTTGCAATAACAGTAACAAACAGCTCTTTTAAAAAATATGCTACACAGGAAAAAGTGGACAACTTTAATATGATCAGTTCATCCATCGGTTTCTAACTGCTGATTTGGAAAAGCTCATAGTAGTAGAAAGGGTTTTATTACAAAGATTTCTGAAAACTTTTCTTCAATCTGGTGTTTCTGGAATTTTGAGAAAATGTCCTTGCATTGTAAGCAAAGGAATAAAATACAAGTAGTGGCATATTATGCAGGCATCCACCATTCTATCACTATCCAAAATCTGCTAAGTACCTCTGCTAAAACATCAAAGAAAATTTCACACACCTCTAAGTTTACCAATAAACAGATTTTGTACACATATTCTATGTGGACCTGAGTACATGTTTTTGTCAAACATATCATATTTGATTACCTGTACCATCATACAAGGCAAAATAAATGAAATATACATTAATTATGAATATATTTATAGCACTAGACAAGCAGATAAAATAAAAAGTTAACATGCTATTACGTTTTCTCTTAATTGTATCAAAGTACTTACACTCTTTGTATGAATTCTGGAAAAAGTAGTATATGGTGCCAAAAACTTAGAAGATGCATTTTCCTTTGGACAGGAAATATGAATGCTTTTCTAAACAAAGAGGAAAAAGTGAAAACCATCAGTAAAGCTACTCCAATGAAATTACAGTCTCTTCAAGAACACAGGACTACAGGAAATTCTCATCTTCTAGAGCGTATCTTCTCCAAACTTCCTTTCCCAGACCACAAAACTATTATTCCCCCATATCTTAGCTGCCATTTAAACGCAGAGGGCTGCAGAGTAATTTGGTATCACTGAAATGCCATTATCTTCATATTGAAGTAAACTGTCCTACAGAAGACAGACTAATGAAGATACAAGTATAATGGTATTAACTTTTAGATGAAAATCTAATACAATACTGTCAACCTGCAGTGGGACAAGGAGTGGGACCCTCAGAAGAGTGCATAAAGAGACGAGAGAAAAGTCAGCTCCAGTCCCCAAGCCCAGGGGCTAAACACAAGCCTAAAAGTGAGCCTGGGGGCCAGTGTTGTGATGCAGCAGGTGAAGCTGACGACACATCCCATATTAGAGTATCAGTTTAAGTCCTGGCTGATGTGCTGGGGAAGGCAGTAGAAGACAGCCTAAGTCCCTCGGCTCCTGCCACTCATGTGGGAGATCTGGATGGAGTTCTGGGGTCCTGCTTTTGGCCTGGCCCTCCCTGGGCTATTGCAGGCATTTGGAGAACAAATCAGCAAGTGGGAAGATTTATTTCTACCTTATCTGTCCCCATCTCCTTCTCTCTCTCCCCCACCCCCATCACTCTTTCAAGTAAAATGAAAGTAAATAAAATTTTTCAATATATAAGTTTATTTTGGTATATTATTTTGAAATCATGGATAATCTTTACATAATACGCATTTTCTATTAACTTTTTGAAGATACTTATCTTCACGGATTTCAAAATTTTTTGCACCAAAATAAGCTGATCTTTTAATTCTAGTTTTCTGCCAACCTTTTTGAAGTACCTTTCTATGTTGGCATGTCAAGGTAGCATACACAGAGATGTAAAAGGCTTGGTAAACTCTTACTCAAGGATTCTTGCACTATGACAGTCCTTTATTGTACAAGCAAAATGCCAACATCACCACCTAACCGTGTATCTCCTGTGAGGAGCTCAGGAGCGGCATGCCCCACAAAGGCCCCTGACCTCTAATCTCTCAGGCAGCATCACTTCAGTCTCTGGAAATGGCAGTGTCTTCTGCAATCAAGATTTTCTGAACCTCTTCATATTCAACAAGCACAGATCCTCTCACTTCATTAGAAAGAACAGTTTCAAAGTCCTAACACTCTCATCACCATAAATGAATATGCTCTCATTACAGGCGACCTACTCCTTGTAAAAGACCATTAGAATACCTATACAAACAGTACTTTCTTACCAGTACATCCATGCCTGGCTGCCTGCAGGCCTTTCATTCAGTGAGTTTTTGCTTCTAACCGCACAATAAAGCCCATATTGTTCCAAGATAGCTGACATGGATTTGGAACTGCCTACTGCACCAGGAACTAAAGAGTCAGCTAAACTGTCTTGGCTGAATATTCATACCCTCAAGAATTCAAGGAGTTCCAAAACAGTGTTCAGGCCTCTGTAAGAATTGGTCTCAGATGACTTCATTTCTTTAGGGCTAATTACATGAAAGAGTTCAAGAATCAGTGTTTTTCTCCTGCTTACAAATCCTGCAAATCAACCTTTAACTCATGAACGACTACAGAGGAAGATAAATGTTGAACTACCTTCGAATGTAAACAATAGACAATCATGCTGTTAAAGCACTTTAAAGAAAAGCTGCAGAAGATAACGAAACAGACAAAATTCAAGGGGGAAAAGTATGAGTATGCCACATTAAAATAAAACTCAAACATTTTTTAAATCCTCCAGAGTTAGGCATTGAAGCATAATGACAGATCTACTGTTTAAAAGGACGATGTAGCAACATCAAATGGCAAAGTGACAAATGAATGTTAAACCATAAGCACTTACTGTCTGAACCCACCCAGCAGGTTCATGGAGTAATTAGCAATGCTGTTTGAAGAGATAGGGTTTGTTGCCAGGCCTGAGTATGAAGGGAAGAAATACAGATCAAGTATATCCAATAAAAAACTGGAGTTATGAATTGAGATGTACTGTTAACTCTAAAATATACATAGAATTTTCAGGGCTCAAGAAAAAAGTAATCTAAATATCAGCACCCAGGCTGCAGGTGTACATTAGCAAAACACCTGAGAAAAATACAGGCTTGCAAGGTGGTATTACTTGGAATCAGAACTGGGTTTCTTATTTTTTTAAAAGATTTATTTATTTATTTGAAAGGCAGAGTTACAGAAAGGCAGAGGCAGAGGCAGAGAGAGAGAGAGAGAGAGAGGTCTTCCATACTCTGGTTCATCCCCCAGATGGCTGCAACAGCTGGAGCTGAGCCGATCCAGGTCTCCCACGTGAGTGCAGGGGCCCAAAGATTTGGGCCATCTTTTACTGCTTTCCCAGACCATAGCAGAGAGCTGGTTGGAAGTGAAGCAGCTGGGACCCGAACCGGCGCCCATATGGGATGCTGGCATTGTAGGCAGTGGCTTCACCCGCTATACCACAGCGCCGATCCCAAAACTGGGTTTCTTTTTTTTTTTTTTTTTTTCCCACAGGCAGAGTGGACAGTGAGAGAGAGAGAAAGGTCTTCTTTTGCCGTTGGTTCACCCTCCAATGGCCACCGCGGCCGGCGCACCACACTGATCCGAAGGCAAGAGCCAGGTACTTCTCCTGGTCTCCCATGAGGTGCAGGGCCCAAGCACTTGGGCCATCCTCCACTGCACTCCCTGGCCACAGCAGAGAGCTGGCCTGGAAGAGGGGCAACTGGGACAGAATCCGGCGCCCTGACCGGGACTAGAACCTGGGGTGCCAGTGCCACAGGTGGAGGATTAGCCTATTGAGCCACGGCGCCGGCCCCAACTGGGTTTCAATTCTAGTACACAGTCTAACTGTCTTCAATTATTAGGAATTAATTAACTTCTGAGTTTGCCTATCTGCAAAGAGAAAAGTTGAAATGTCAATTCCAGGAGCCAGCACTGTGGCATAGCAGGTTAAGCCACCGCCTGCAGCCCCATCATCACATATGGGTGCCAGTTCAATTCTCGGCTGCTCCACTTCCAATCCCACTCCTTGCTAATGGGTCTGGAAAGCAGCAGAAGCAGTCGAAATGCTTGGGCCCTGCACCCACATGGGAGACTAGAAGAAGCTCCTTGTTTCTGGCTTCAGATTGGCCCAGTACCAGTAGCTGCAGTCATTTCGGGGGAAAAAACAGGATAGAAGGGCTCTCCCTCTCCCTCTCTAACTCTGCCTCTCAAATAAAATAAATCAATCTCCAAAAATGTCAATTCCAGGGGACTGTTACAATAAGCAACAATAACTTCTATAACATTTTTGTTGCATCTAAACTAGTCTCATTCCCTATTAATCACATTCTGTGAGGCAAAATTTTATCTGTATTTTACAAATAGGGAAACTGAGGCTTGGAGATGTAAGTTACTTGTCCAAAATCATATAGCTGGTAAGTGTCAGAGTTAATGAAAATTTACATTCCGATCTGACACTTCCTACAACCATAGCTGCTTATGAAAAACAAATATAAAATCTATAACATTCAGTCTATTACCTTGTACAAAGAACGTAATGAATGAACATTTGCTAAAGGTCTTATGTAAAAAAAACATAGCATTCTCTATTATTTAAAGATTCCTTTATTTTAAAGACAGAGTTATAGAGAGGGAGAAACAAAGATAGAAATCTTCCATTCACTGGTTCACTCCCCAAATGGCTGCAACAGCCAGAACTATGCCAGGCTGAAGCCAAGAGCTTCATCCAGGTCTCCCTTGTGGATGCAGAGGCACAAGTTCTTGGGCCATCTTCCGCTGCTTTCCCAAATGCATTAGCAGGGAGCTGAATCAGAAGTGGAGCAGCTGGGATTCAACCCAGTGCCCATATAGGATGCTACTTTACAGGTGATGGCTTTAGCGCTACTCAACAAAGCCAGCCTCTTGTTGGTATACTCTTTACAACTGGGGCCAATGTTGTGGCAGAGTGGGTTAAGCCACCGCCTATGATGCAGCCTTCCCATATGAGCACCAGTTTGAGTCCCGGGCGTTCCACTTCCAATTCAGCTTCCTGCTAATGCACCTAAAAGCAGATGAGGATAGCCCAAGTGCTTGGGACCCTGCCACCAATGAGGAGGACCTGGCCCAGCCCTGTCCATTGCAGCCATTTTGGGAATCAATCAGTGGAAGAAAGACTTCTCTCTCTCTCTCTCCCCCCTGTAACTCTGCCTTTCAAATAAATAAATTAAAAAAAACAAAAACAAAAACAAAAACAAAAACACAAAACCTTTACAACTAAAAATTATACAAAAAAAGAAAAAAAGGCTGGTTCACCCTTTGGGACTCATCCCACCAATACAAACTGACTGCAGCAGTCATAATGAGTAAGGAAAGGCGAATCATGGGTTGTAAAACATGAAGCTTAGCCATCTATTTACCTTAAAGACAAATGAGAAAACTATCATGTACTACTAATCAAAGTTCTTCACCAAGGCCTAGCCACGCACAGATTGTAAGGCAATATTGTCCCATATGCTAGGTATTAGCCACATAAGGCTACAGAATAATTGAAATGTGGGAAATACAAATGAAGAACTTAATTTTATTTAATTCTAAAGATTAACTTAAAAACTGATACTTCATTCAATTACTAGAAAGCTTTTAGGTATGTTTGTAACTATTGAGGTATGTGAATCAATGTTTTTAATTGTAAGTTTAATACAGATCAAGTATTTCCAATAAAATATTACAGTCTGAATTGAGATGTGCCTCATGTGTAAACCACACATAGGAATTTGAAGACTTAATGAGAAAAAAGAAATGTAAAATATCTCATTAACTGTTTTACATTCATTACAAGTTGAAATAATATCTTAGATACATCAGGTTAAGTAAGATATTAATTTCAGTATTTTGAATCCTTGCTTCCAAGATGGCAAAGGAACAACAGCCATGCCTAAAAGGACCGCAGCCATGTGCAGCCTGTCTTCCACAAACGTTCTGATGTGTGCCCAAGGACAAGGCCATTAAGAAGTTGGTCATCTGAAATATAGTGGAGGCCAAAGCCATTAGGGACATCTCCAAAGCAAGTGTCTACAAAACCTATGTGCTTCCCAAACTACGTTATTGTGTGAGTTGTTGCAGTCATAGCAAAATTGTCAGAAATCAATATCCTGAAGCCAGGAAGGACCAAATACCATCTTGCTGACTTAGACCTGCTGGTGCTACCCCAGGGCCTCCACAAAGCCCATGTAAGGAGCTTAGTCTTTAAGGGCTGAAAAGAAACTATCCTTTGGAAAAATAAAATGGAAATTAATCCTTTAAAAAAAAGCTAATTTCATCTGCTACTAAACGAGTTAAAATTACATATGCAGCTCAAATTATCAGAGCTGGTGTAAGTAAGCAGAAGTTTGGATTTAAAAGTACATGTAACTGCCAGCGCCGTGGCTCACTAGGCTAATCCTCCGCCTAGCAGCGCCTGCACACCAAGTTCTAATCCTGGTCGGGGCGCCGGATTCTATCCTGGTTGCCCCTCTTCCAGGCCAGCTCTCTGCTATGGCCCAGGAGTGCAGTGGAGGATGGCCCAAGTGCTTGGGCCTTGCACCCCATGGGAGACCAGAAGCACCTGGCTCCTGCCTTCGGATCAGCGCGATGCGCCGGTCGCAGCGTGCCGGCTGCAGCGTGCCAGCCGCAGCGGCCATTGGAGGGTGAACCAACAGTAGTCCAATGTGGTGGATTCGTCTCTCTCTCTCTCTCACTGTCCACTCTGCCTGTCAAAAAAAAAAAAAAAAAAAAAAAGTACATGTAACTATGAGAAAAAGCTCAACATTTAGGTAGCAAAACTTTTGATTACTGTACAAATGAAATGGAGATGACATAGATGCAAAACAACCATATAAATATCTAAAGCAGATACATGTCCCACCACATTTAAAAGGCGTAAGAATATACCTTGTTGACTTCATTCACAATAAACCCTTCTGAAGCTGTAACCTCAGGGACGCCATCTAGGCCAAGTCCTTGACAAGTCAGGCTGCCATACAAAGATGGCTTCCCTGTAGAGCACAAAAGAAGCATAGCTTAGAAAAACAAGAAAAATTTAAGATTTTTTTCCTGGAAGATCCAATTCAGGCATCTCTACAGATGAGATGCCCATTTAGGAAAAAAAAAAAAAACAGTATGCGTTAAAAGTCAGGTGAAGGGGCTGGTGTTGTGAAACAGTGGGTAAAGCCACCCCTGCAATGGTGGCATCCCATACGGATCCCAGCTGCTCCATTTCAGATCCAGCTCCCTGCTAATGTGCCTGGAAAAGCAGCAGAGGATGACCCAAGTACTTGGGCCCCTGCATCCACGTGGGAGACCCAGAAGCTCCAGGTTCTTGGTTTAGGCCTGGCACACTCCTAGCCTTTGCAGCCATTTGAGGAGTGAACCAGTAGATGGAAGGCCTCTTTCTGTCTCTTCCTCTGTCTGTCTGTAACTCTTTCAAATACATAAAAATACTGGGGCCGGTGCTGTGGCATAACGGGTTGGGCCTCTGCCTGCAGTGCTGGCATCCCATATGGGCGCTGGTTCGAGTCTTGGCTGCACCACTTCCGATCCAGCTCTCTACTATGGCCTGGGAAAGCAGTAGAATATCACCCCCATTCTTGGGCCCCTGCACCCGCGTGGGAGACCCAGAGGAGGCTCCTGGCTCCTGGCTTTGGATCAGCGCAGCTCTGGCCATTGCGGCCAACTGGGGAGTGAACCAGTAGATGGAAGACCTCTCTCTCTGCCTCTCCTTCTCTCTCTGTGTAACTCTTTCAAATAAATAAATCTTAAAAAAAAAAAAAAAAAAAAAAAGAAATACATAAAATAAATCTTAAAAAAAAAAAAACAGGTCAGATCAAATGGAAAGAGCGTTAGGTCAGGCAAACCTGTTTTACAATGGAATACACGGAAAGACTAAATAAAGAACAAAGACGTAGGGGTCTGCCTCTCTTGGAGTCCCCTTCCTGATATCTATAGGCTTCTGACTTAAATAAATCCTACTTTTCTCTCTGCAAAAAAAAAAAAAAAGGGGGGGGGGTTTAGATATGATATAGCATGTGTAGAGAAAACTGCTAGAGTGATCGCTTGTTTTTTGGCTGTGAAATGGAATTCTTCCAGGACAGAAGGTAAAGATCAATGTTAGGGGTATGTGTTATAATCAAATAGGGTAAGCCATCACTTGGAATGCTTGCATTCCACATCAAAGTGCCTGCTTCATATCCCAGCTACTCCATGTCTGATCTAGCTTCCTGCTAATGCACCTGGGATGCAGCAAATAATGACCCAAATGCTTGGGTCCCTGCCACTCACAGGGGAGACTCCAAGGAGTTTCTGGCTTCTGGCTTCGGCCTGGCTCTGCACCAGCTGTTTGGAGCATTTGGGGAGTAAACCGGCAGATGGAAGATCTTTCTCTTTCTCTTTGGCTCTGTCTCTGTCTTTGTGTCTGCCTTTCAAGTAGGTGGAAATAAATATTTTCTAAAAAAGATAACATTAAGGCTGGTGCCATGGCACAGTGGGTTAATTCCCCACCTGCGGTGCCAGCATCCCATATGGATGCCAGTTCTAGTCCCGGCTGTACCACTTCCAATCTAGCTCTCTGTGATGGCCTGGGAAAGTAGTGAAGGATGGCTCAAGCACTCAGGGCCCTGTACCCACATGGGAGACCTGGAAGAAGCTCCTGACTCCTGGCTTTGGATTGGCGCAGCTCCAGCTGATGCAGCCATTTGGGGAGTGAACCAACAGATGGAAGACCTTTCTTTCTTCTTTTTTTTTTAAGATTTATTTATTTGAAAGACAGAGTTAGAGAGAGAGGTAGAGAAAGAGAGAAAGGTCTTCCATCTGCTGGTTCACTTCTCAGATGGCTGCAACGGCTGGAGTTGCGCCGATCCAAAGCCAGGAGCCAGGAGCCTCCTCCGGGTCTCCCACATGGGTGCAGGGGCCCAAGAACGAGGGCCATATTCTACTGCTTTCCCAGGTCATAGCAGAGAGCTGGATTAGAAGAGGAGCAGCCAGGACTAGAACCAGCGCCCATATGGGATGCCGGCACTTAAGGCCAGGGCGTTAACCCGCTGTGCCACAGTGCCGGCCCCAAAGACCTTTCTTTCTATTTCTCCCTCTCACTGTCTGTAACTCTACCTCTCAAATAAATAAATAAAGCCTTTAAAAAATAAAAAGGCAAATGAACTGCTCCTGGTGTCCAGCAGGGAGCTGTAAAAAAAGAAAAAACAAAAGATCAACATTAAAGTGTATGAGGATACTTCAAAAAGTTCATGGAATGTGGAATTAAAAGGTATGTTTATTTTGGTGCAAAAAATTTGAAATCCAGCATATAAAGGCCCTTCAAACAGTTTATGGAAAATGTATATTATGAAAAAACCACACCTGGTTTCAAATTTTTTTAAGACTTATGCATTTATTTATTTGAACAAGGAGGAATGAGACATCAGTTAAAACATCACTTTGGTATAGCAGTCACAGAAAAGGTAGTTGAAGGATAACTCATCAGGAACTCATAATCGAGGACGGAAATCCGGACTACAAGACCAAGGAAAGAAGCAGGAGACAGGAAAGTGGTATAAAGGCTATTTCAAAAAGATGTCACAGAGGACCGAGGAAACCACGCTTTTCGTCTCCCTCCTAGATTCCTGCCTTCATCCTAGGAAGTATGGCCTTCAGGGTACAGCATTTAAACCAACCTCCCGGCGGCACCCTCAATGACCTCTCTACACTCTCACACTAACTAAAACAACCTCAGCCTCAGCTCTACCCACCATGCCACACACTGTTCCCCTCAGCTCTTTAACAGGGAGCTGGATTGGAAGTGGAAAAGCTCAGACTAAACCAGCACCCATATGGGATGCCAGTACCACAGGTGGAGGCTTAACCTACTATGCCACAGTGCTGGCAATATATATGCCTTTTAAAGTGTTTTTAAGAACTGACAATGCACCTGGGAAAGCAGCAGAGGATGCCCCAAGCACTTGGGTCCCTGCCACCCACATGGAAAACATGGATGGAATTCTAGGCTCCTGGCTTCAGCCTGGGCTAGTCCCAGCTGTGTGGGCATTTGGGGAGTGAACCAGCAGATAGAAGATATCTCTTGGTTCTTCCCCTTCTGTCACTCTACCTTTCAAATAAATAAATGAATTGTAAATAACAAACAAACAAAAGAAAAAAAAAAAAACAACTACAAGTGTAGACCAATTAGTTCCCAGCTCCTATCTTTGGACTGGCCCAGCCCTGGCTACCACAGTCATTTGGGAAGTGCACCAAAATAAAGTTATCTTGTAATTATTATTATTATTTTTTTTTTTTTATTTTTGACAGGCAGAGTGGACAGTGAGAGAGAGAGACAGAGAGAAAGGTCTTCCTTTGCCGTTGGTTCACCCTCCAATGGCCGCCGCGGCCGGCGCGCTGCGGCCGGCGCACCGCGCTGATCCGATGGCAGGAGCCAGGAGCCAGGTGCTTTTCCTGGTCTCCCATGGGGTGCAGGGCCCAAGCACCTGGGCCATCCTCCACTGCACTCCCTGGCCACAGCAGAGGGCTGGCTTGGAAGAGGGACAACCGGGACAGAGTCCGGCGCCCCGACCGAGACTAGAACCCGGTGTGCCGGCGCCGCTAGGCGGAGGATTAGCCTAGTGAGCCGCGGCGCCGGCCCTATTATTTTTTTTTAATTAAAGAAACAGAGACAACACACAGATCATGAACATTACATTACCTGGAGGATGACAGCTCACCCAGGCCTCCCCTTCATCCTTCCTATAAGAGAGACAAAGTCTAATTAGGCTCACGAACAGTAGAATAGGACACCACTTGTACAAAGGGAGAAAGGTCATATAATCTCCAATTTGGTCAGAGTAATTAGACGTGACATCCTGCCATACATAGATTATTCTAAGACAAACTTTGTTGAAGAAATACTTATGTATTAGGTATATAATGAACAGATATTTGCTTGTTAAATCAATGCCCAAATACTTCCATCAATGGAGAGTTTACTTGGAAAAACCAAGGTTACTTATATTTAGATATTTATGTGGATTATTTTAAACCAAGGCCTGGACTGGTCACTTTCCATATAGCATCATTAGTCCTCGAAACAACCAAATAAGATATTATTTCCTCCACCTTAAGTATTAAAAACTAGGCTCAGGGGCCAGTGCCGTGCCTCACTTGGTTAATCCTCCGCTGTGGTGCCGGCATCCCATATGGGTGCCAGATTCTGTCCCGGTTGCCCCTCTTCCAATCCAGCTCTCTGCTGTGGCCCAGGAAGACAGTGGAGGATGACCCAAGTGCTTGGGCCCCTGTGCCTGCATGGAAGACCAGGAGGAACCACCTGACTCCTGGCTTCGGATCAGCGCAGCGTGCCGGCCATAGTGGCCCTTTGGGGGGTGAACCAACAGAAGGAAGACCTTTCTCTCTGTCTCTCTCTCTAACTCTGCCTGTCCAAAAAAAAAAAACAACAACAACAACAACAACAAAACAACAACTAGGCTCAGTGCTGGGCACATAGCCTACTAGTGTTGCCAGTTTGGAGGCCCTTGTCCCATATCAGAGTACCTGGGTTCAATACCTGCCTCTAGCTCCTGAATAGCTTCCTGTGAATGCAGACCCCAGGAGGCAGCAGTGATGGTTCAAGCAATGGGGTTTATCATACCTTTGTGGGAGACCTAGATTGATTCCCAGGCTCCCAGCTTTGGCTCTGGCTACTCCATACTGTCACAGGCACTTGGTGAACCAGATAGGGAACCCCCCCCACCCCATTAAATAAAAACTATAGTTCAGAGAAAGGTGACCTAACCAAAGTCACCTAGCCATGATACCGGGACTGGTGCACAATTAGGTCCGACTTTTTTGACATTTCACATTGACTTTTTACATGTTTTATAATGCACCTCCCCAATCATCCAAATCCTGCTCTCTTCACCTTAATATTTTCACACACTTTTGTGGTATGACAGAAAGTGTCTAGGCTTTAAAGACAGAAAGAGCTAGGCTGACAGCCGTCTCTATCGTATGATCAGCTGCATCATCTTGGATGAGTTATGCCCTGATCTGGCTCTTGCATTCTCTCACAGGTACCTGGTGGCACTTAATCAATGTGACCATTCATCCTTTATTATCACCTTGTTTTCTAGTAAGCAATCTTTATTTTAGTCCACCTAGGAAGGTGTAAATTTCTCAATCCTGATGTCTAGGGAATAAAGGGCACAGTAGATGATGGCTAAATATATGCTAAATGAATGGTTTGCTCTGTGTCCTCTATTAAGGCGTAGCTTCTGGAAGAGCAAGAACTTAAATTGAGAGAACACGTCCACAACAGAGCCTGGACAAGGTGGGTGCTTCTAAACAAAATCCTAACCTCGAGCGAGGGACCTAGACAAAGATTCCATCACATCTATGAGCACAAAGCGGTCGTGAGCACTGGACTCTTGCAAATAACGACCGTATTTACTAAAGGACTTACTCGGTCGAGTCTTGCCGACCCCATTTCCTTTCTCCAACTCATGGAATCCAGTTAAGACGCAAGGGTCACACAACGCTTATGTGCTCCCTCGGCTTTGGGAGAGCCGTTCAGAGAATGAAAACATACGGGGTCAGGATTTCTAAACCCTGTGCCCTTCAGCTTCCTCAATAAGTGATGAGGTAATCCCTATGGATATCTTGGGCTAGGCACGGTTTTCCTTGACGCAAGGGCAACATCCGCTCCCCGCCTCCTGTCCTCCTGTCCTGGGCCTGGATTCACCTGAGGGCTTGAGCCCAGTCGCTCTGAATCCTCAAAGGCACCGCCATCTTGACTCCCCGCCTCCACTAGCCCGCCTCTTCCGCCCTCTCCGGAAGTGATCGCACCCGAGGGCGGTGTGCGGGCGCCACACCAAGAGGCCACCAATCAAAATGCGCGGTGAATTCCCCCGCCCCTTCCGCGTTTGCGCGCCCCACCAGGGGGTGGTTCCAGGGAGGAAGAACGGAAGAGCCCCCAGCGGCCTGCAGAACTGAGGTCACCGCGCCGGAACGCGTGTTCGGGTCCTCTGCTCCCACCTGTTCGGTGAGCACCGCACGCCGCGGAGGCACTGCGGGTACCCGCCGGCCGCGCGCACGCATGCGTCCTCTGCCTAACGTTGGACGGGCGTTTCCCGCGATTGGCCGCAGAGAATTCTCTGCTTGCCCATGGTTTCCGCTCTCTTCGTAGCCCGCACCTCGTTCCGTGGCTCGGCCACCAGCCATCTAACCTGCCCTGGTTTCCGAGCGGAGGTCGTCCTCATTTTTCTCTGAGGGAAACTAAAGTGAGGCTGTGGGGAGGCGGAAGAGTACAGTAGCATTTCTTGAATCTTGTTACAGTCCAGTTTATTTCCGTTATGTTAACCTTTAATTTTGAGAATTCATATCTTTTTAATCATTTGAAAGGCAGAGTTAGAGAGAGAGGTCTTCCATCTGATGGTTTTCTCCCCAATTGGCCGCAGCCGCTGGAACTGCCCCTATCAGAAGCCAGGAGTCTAGCTTCTTTCTGGTCTCCCACAGGTGGAGGATTAACGTAGTGAGCTATGGCGCCGGCCCAAAGTCATAAACTCTTTAACACAGCCTGCAAAGCCTTAAGGTGGTCAGACACTCATGCCACTTGTTTCTTCGTTTTAGGTTTATTTCTTTGAAAGGCAGTGGAACGAGCTCTCACCCACTGGCTCACTCCCCAGATACCCACAACAGCTGGGGCTGGGCCAGGTGAAGCCAGGAGCCTGGAGGCTGGAACTCATTACAGTCTTTCACGTGGGTGGCAGGAGCCCATATACCTGGGCTGTCTTCCGCTGCCTTCCCAGGCTCTTTAGCAGGGAGCTGGATTGGAAACAGAGCAGTTGGGACTTGAACTGGCACTTATATGGGCTGCCAGCATCATTGGTAGTGGCATAACCTGCTGCACCTCAATGCCAGCCCCCATTGTCTTGTTCTTGTTCTTTCTTCTATAGACACTTTTTTTTTAATTATTTATTTATTTGAAAGAGTTGTACAGAGAGAGAAGGAGAGGTAGAGAGAGAGAGGTTTTCCATCCGCTGGTTCACTCCCCAATTGGCTGCAACGGCCAGAGCTGCGCTGATCCAAAGCCAAGGGCCACGAGCTGCTTCTGCATCTCCCACATGGGTGTAGGGGCCCAAGGACTTGGACCATCTTCTACTGCTTTCCCAGGCCATAGCATGCAGGTAGTGGCTTTACCCACTACGCCATAGTGCTGGCCCCTATAGTCATTTTTGATTCCTCTCTTGTAATACTTTTTTTTTTTCCTTTTAAGATTTATTTATTTGAAAGGCAGAGCAATGGAGAGAGGGAGAGACAGAGATCTTCCATCTACTGATTTACCCCAAAGGTGACTGCAGTGGTCAGGGCTGGGCCAGGCAGGAGCCAGGAGCTTCTTCCAGCTCTCTGTTATAGGTGGCAGGGGCCCAAGTACGTGGGCCATCTTCCACTGCTTTCCCAGGAGCATTAGCAGGGAGCTGGATTGGAAGTGGAGCAGCTGGAGCTCATATGGGATGCCATTGTTGCAGGTGGTAGCTTAACCTGCTGTGCCACGATGTTGGCCCTGATCATTTGTTGAATGAATGCATGAGAGACACAGGAAAGGCACTAAGAGTCCTTCTAGATCCTTCACAGCCTATCATGGTAAAATTTGTGCAAAGGCTGCAGTCACTTCCCTTCACAAGTTTCTTAACTTCCTTCCTTCAGCTCCCTTCTGCTGGGCGCTCTGAAGCAGGTGATACGGGAGGACAGTCTGAGCAGTTCACATTTCTGTACTGGTCTCACTGACTCGCCGCTTGCCTGTGCTCTGCACACTCTGTGCTTACAGCCACCCTGAATTCTTGCTAGTTCTCTCATGCGTCAAAGCCTACCCACTCCTACTTGGATGCTCTTCCAAATATTGAGGCACAGAATAAGGCCAGTAGAAGAAAATGCTTTTTGAATGATGTGTTGATTTATTTGAAAGGCAGAGTGTCAGAGGGAGAGACAGAGATCATCCACCTGCTGGTTCACTCAAATGACCACACATCCTGGGCTGGGCCAGGTTGAAGCCAGGAGCCAGGAACTCCTTCCAGGTCACCCACATGAGTGGCAGGGCCCACAAACGTGGGCCATGATCTGCTCCCTTCCCTGGGGCATTAACAGGAAGCTGGGTCAGAAGCAGAGTAGCTAGGACTTGAACCAGCACTCTGATATGGGTTTCTGGTGCCAGAAGCAGCAACTTAACCCACTGCAATGCAGTGCCAGCCCCAACAGTTAACTTTTTTGAGGTAGATCAGACATGGCTTCTCCAAAAAGATGACCTTTTGCCTAATTCAGATTCCATTAGCAGAATTCATTGAGCTTACTGAGTGCTGTTATCAGCATTGTCACTTACATTATCTCATTAACTTCTGTTCAGACCGTGTTTCAGGCCTGCTCTCTGCCAGGGCACCACAGTCAATCAGGCTCAGTATTTGTCCTCCAGGAGTTTACAGTATGCTAAGGAATAAACAACAATAACAGTGCGTTTTGGTCAGTAGTGTTTATAATGCAGCAACCTTACGTGTAATCATAACTCTCTTCTAATCTCATCTCTGTTGATATTCTGTAGATTCCCCAGGATGTCATCCTCTGTGCCTCAAGGTCATACCTGGGTCCGACAAGTGAAGAAGGAGGATGAGGAAGAAGACCCCCTGGATCAGCTAATCTCCCGCTCTGGCTGTGCTGCCTCCCATTTGGCAGTGCAGGAGTGCATGGCCCAGCACCAGGACTGGCGGCAGTGCCAGTCACAGGTGCAGGCCTTCCGGGATTGCATGAATGAGCAGCAGGCAAGGCGGCGAGAGGAGCTACAGAGAAGGAAAGAGCAGGCCAGTGCTCGCCGCTGAGACACCAAACCACCTGTCCCCAGAGATCACGAGAGGAAGAGATCCACCTGTCTCCAGAGATCACGAGAGGAAGAGATCCTGAATGCTGGAAGTGTGGGCCAGGAGGTGTAAAACTTTGGGGATAGTCTTTGGGACTGGGGTTGACAGCATGACACCATGGATTTGAACATGACTGCCTTAAAGAGCTGTCGTATTTTAATGTCAGATCCTGCCCATCCTTGCCCTTGTCCCACCAGCATATGCTTATGTAGAACAAAGAGTGGGATAAGGCAATGCTCCTCCACCCCACATCTTGTGTCAGTGTGCCATGATTACAGGTTCATCTTAATTTTCAAAGTAAATCTAAGGGTGGACTGGATACCTAATGAGGTCTTCACTTATTCAGTCATGGGTTCAACAACCACAGATATTTCAGAGGCACTGTGTGGGAAACTGATGTGATGAGTCATGTGACCTCTGCCTCCATGTAGTTCAGGGTCTAATTTGAGAGGTGGAAATAGAACAGCATTGGCCCAACTAATTCCTGTCAATGTTAAAAGTGCATTTTCTTCCCTTGTTCTGCATGTTTCCCTCACATTGTTGGAAAGAAGAAAGCCAACAGGTGACTCTGTTCAATGGGTATTGAGTACCTGTTCTTTGCCAGACTCCCCAATTCACTGATGCAGTCTGACTCAGCCTGCTCCCCAGCTAACAAACAGGGTTGGCCTGATGTTTTAAAAGTGGCAGAGTAGGCTAAGCCTCTGCCTGCAGCATCAGAGTGCCATAAGGGTACCAGTTTGTGTCTTGGCTGCCCCTCTTCTGATCCAGCTCTCTGCTATGGCCTGGGAAAGCTAGAAGATGGCTAAAGTCTGGGCCCCTGCAGCCATGTGGGAGCCCCAGAAGAAGCTCCTGGCTTCTGCCTTAGGATTGGTGCAGCTCCAGCCATTGCAGCCATCTGGGGAGTGGACCAGCAGGTAGAAGACCATTCTTGGCCGGCGCCGCGGCTCACTAGGCTAATCCTCCGCCTTGCGGCGCCAGCACACCAGGTTCTAGTCCCGGTCGGGGCACTGGATTCTGTCCCGTTTGCCCTTCTTCCAGGCCAGCTCTCTGCTGTGGCCAGGGAGTGCAGTGGAGGATGGCCCAAGTCCTTGGGCCCTGTACCGCATGGGAGACCAGGAGAAGCACCTGGCTCCTGCCATCGGATCAGCGCGGTGCGCCAGCCGCAGCGGCCATTGGATTGGAGGGTGAACCAACGGCAAAGGAAGACCTTTCTCTCTCTCTCTCACTGTCCACTCTGCCTGTCAAAAAAAAAAAAGAAGACCATTCTTTCTGTCTGTTCCTTTCTCTGTGACTCTACCTTTCCAAATAAATAAATAAAATATTTTTAAAAAGCATATTTAACATTAAAACATGGATTTGGAGGGCTGGCATTTGGCACAGTGATTAAGATGCCACGTGAGACAACTACATTCCATGTTAGAGTATCTGGTTGAGTCCCAGCTCCACTTCCAATTCTAGCTTCCTGCCAGTGTGTACCCTGGGAGGCAGAGGATGATGCGCATGTAGTTAAGTCCCTGCCACGCACACTGGAGACCCAAAGAAGTTCCAGACTCCTGGCTTCAGCCTGGCCTGGCCCCAGCTGTTAGAGACATCTGGGGAGTAAACTAATGGATGAAAGATTGATGTCTGTTTCTGTCTCTGCCTTTTGAATTAAAAGACAAGTTTATAAAATACAGATTTTCAGCTTTTGAGAACAGAGACAAACCTCATATTCCCACTTGACCACTCTCTGCTGGAGCTGATGAATAGCACCTCCTTTAAAAGGGGTTGTGCTCCCCTGTTCGTGATAACTGCTCATTTGTCTTCAGTGAAACTATTTTCACTATACTTTTCGCACCCATTCCTAGCTGTGAAAGGCACTTGGGAGTGGGAACGGGGTCAGTTGATTGCCATAGAAGCTGAAGTGAAGTCACATGCTCATCATCGTCAGTGACAAATTTTTTTTAAGGATTTCATTTATTTGAGAGGCAGAGTTATAGACAGAGAGGACTTCCATCCACTGATTCACTCCCAAAATGGCTGCATTGGCCAGAGCTGGGCCGATCTGAAGCCAGGGGTCAGGAGCTGCTTCTGGGTCTTCCACGGGGTGCAGGGGCCCAAGGACATGAGCCATCTTCCATTGCTTTCCCAGGCCATTAGCAGAGAGCTGATCGGAAGAGGAGCAGCTGGGACAGGAACTGGCGTCCATATGGGATGCCAGCACTGCAGGCAGAGGCTTAGCCTACTAAGCCATAGCACCAGCCCCATTTCTTTTTTAAAGATTTATTTATTTGAACATCAGAGTTAGAGAGTCAATGGAGTAAAGAGAGTGAGAGAGCTTCCATCCACTGCTTCACTCCCCAAATAGATGCAACAGCCAGGGGTAGGGCAGGCTGAAACCAGGACTTTCTTTCAGGTCTCCCACATGCATAGCAGGCCATCTTTGGCTGCTTTCCTAGGCTGTTAGAAGGAAGCTTGATTGGGAGTGAAGCAGCCAGGACATGAACCAGCGCCCATATGGGATGCAGATGTCGCAAGCCATGGCTTCACTGGCTAAGCCACAATGCCTGCCCCAGTGATCGTTCTTGAGCATTATTAAGAGCCCACATCTGAAGTATAGGAGGCCTTAAAATCTACTTTGAGCCTTTGTGCTGGCATTTGGGGAAGTGGGAAAGAGACAACAGAAATGAGACGTTTGGGAGTGAATAGCCTGCTAGTTAAAATGCCCACCTTCCATACTGGAGTGCCTCAGCTCAGTGCCAGCCTCTGGCTCTTGATTCCAGCTTCCTGCTACCGCAGACCTTGGGAAGCAGTGATAATGGCTCAAGTATTTGGATTCCTATCACCCATGTGAGAGACCTGGATTCAGTGTCTGGCTCCCTGGCCATTACGTGCATTTAGGGAATGAACCAGCTGATGAGAGCGCTCTGTCTTTCTGCTTCTCAAAAATTGAAAAGAAAAAACAAAAAACCAAGGAGTTCAGAAAGTTGGAATAACATGTTGTTTCAGTCTGAAGGGGATGACCAGATAAATATATAAAAATTGATGCCTGTGAGTCCATGTGTGCTCAGTGGTTTGGTCAGAGGGAGCAGGCTGTGTGCACTGGAGCTGTCAACAAGAAGCTCAAAGAAAAGGCAGTTAGTTGAGCTAAACTTGAAAAATGAAGTGGGTATCAGTTATTTGTAACATACAACAAAAAAGTTCTGGAGTAAAGTACTCAAATCATTGTTTTAAAATGCATATAATCTTGGCCGGTGCCATGGCTCACTTGGTTAATCCTCTGCCTGTGGCGCTGGCATCCCCTATGGGTGCCGGGTTCTAGTCCCAGTTGCTTCTCTTCCAGTCCAGCTCTCTGCTGTGGCCCAGGAGGGCAGTGGAGGATGGCCCAAGTGCTTGGGCCCTGCACCCGCATGGGAGACCAGGAAGAAGCACCTAGATCCTGGCTTCGGATCAGTGCAGCGCTGGCCATGGCGGCCATTTGGGGAGTGAACCAATGGAAGGAAGACCTTTCTCTCTCTCTCTCTCACTGTCTATAACTCTACCTATCAAATAAATAAAAAATAAATAAAATGCATATAATCGAATAGGAAAGTAAACAAATATGTCTCCCAAGATGACTAGAGAAATTCAAACTTTACCTTTCTTTCTCTGTCTCTACCTCTGATTCTTTCAAATAAATAAATCTTTAAAAAAAAAAAACGCAGACTTTTAAAAATAAAGTATTAGTTAATTCTACTGACAAAGATATAATAACTGGTATTGGTAGAGATGAGGAGAAGTAGGCATATTCACTTTTTTTTTAAAGATTTATTTATTTATTTGAAAGTCAGAGTTACACAAAGAAAGAAGGAGAGGCAGAGAGAGAGATAGGAGAGAGAGGTCTTCCATCCGCTGCTTTACTCCCCAATTGACCGCAATGGCTGGCGCTGTGCCGATCCGAAGCCAGGAGCCAGGAGCTTCTTCTGGGTCTCCCACGAGGGTGCAGGGGCCCAAGGACTTGGACCTTCTTTACTGCTTTCCCAGGCCATAGCAGAGAGCTGGATCGGAAGTGGAGCAACTGGGACTCAAACCAGCACCCATATGGGATGCCAGCACTACAGGCAGCAGCTTAACCCATTATGCCACAGCACTGGCCCCAGGCATATTCATATTAATGAAGCAGTAATTAGTAAAACTTTGGAAGACAATTTTGTGGGATCTATACATGTTTTAAAAACTTACTTTCATCTACTTAAAAGGCAGAAAGGGAGAAAGAGATCTTCCATTTGCTGGTTTACTCCCTAAATGTCTGCAACAGTCAGCGTTGGGCCAGGCTAGAGTCAGGAGCCTAGAACTCTATCTGGGTCTCTCACATGGGTAGCAGGAGCCCAAGCACTTGAACTACCATCCACTGCCTCCCGGGGTTAGGATTAGCAGGAAGCTGGATGAGAAACAGTAGCTGGGACTTGAACTGGCAATCTGATATGGGATGGGATTGTCCCGAGTGATAGCTTAATCCACTGAGCACAATGCCCACCCCTATAAGTATACTTAGTGTTAAAACAATAATTCCTCTTTTAAAGTATATATTTTTTTAAAGATTCATTTATTTGAAAGAGTTACAGAGAATCAGAGAGAGAGAAGTCTTCCATCTACTGGTTCACTCTTCAGATGACTGCAATGGCTGGAGCTGCACTGATCCAAAGCCAGGAGCCAGGCTGAGTCTTCTTCTTCTGGGTCTTCTGAGACTTCTGGGTCTCCCATGAGGGTGCAGGGGCCCAAGGACTTGAGCCATCTTCCACTGCTTTCCCAGGCCATAGCAGAGAGCTGGATTGGAAGTGGGGCAGCTGGGAATTGAACCAGTGCCCATGTGGGATGCCAGCACTGCAGGCAGCAGCTTTACCTGCTACACCTCAGCGCCGGCCCCTCAAGTATATTTTTACTAGCTACATATACTATTACATTGGTTGTAGCATTTTTGTAATAGTATATAAATAATTACATGTTGGCTTATTCAAGTCTTTTACAATAGGAATGTTTATGTACAGATGTTACTTGGTTTTTGATAGGGTTACATCCTCACAAACCCATTCTAAGTTGAAAATATGTTAAAAATGGATTTGATATACCTGACCAAACATCATAGCTTAGCAATAGCACACTGCAGAGAATCAGTTATTTTTAAAAATGTTTTTGAAAGATTTATTCATCATTTTGAAAGGCAGAGTTACACTCCCCAAATGGCCGCAATGATTGGGTCTGGGTGAGGCAGAAGCCTTGAGCCAGGAGCTTCTTCTGGGTCTCCCACGTGGGTGCAGGAGCCCAAGGACTCGGGCTATCCTCTACTGCTCTTAGACGCAT